ACTCGGCCCACAGCGACGACGGCGACGACGACACCACCGTCGTCGCCTCGGCCACCGACGAGGTCAACGGAGAGGAGGTGCGCGGCGACGTCGAGAACTTTATAAAGAAGCAGGTCGTGCGCGCCGGCGTGGCCGGCCTCGGCTTCCTGGTCGCCGTCCTCGGCATCTGGGGCGACGGCGCCGCCCGCCCGCCCGTTTACCACTACTAGGGGCGTACATAGAGAGCCCGCTGGAGGTGAGGGAAATACTTTCCAGAATGGTAGAATATGTGGTTATATTGCATTTGCTTTCTCATCATCAGGGACTGGGCCACCACCACCACTCGTGGGGACAATGTCGTTATTGCTACTCGTGTTGGATCCACTCCCCTCCTGCTTGATCCCTTCCTCTGCCTTGAAATTCATGTGGTGGAACGACGAACAGCAGCAAACAGACGGCGACCCCTGTTTTTGTCTGCGCCTGCGGCGTCATCCCAAGCACTTTCCACCCTGTCAGATTGAACAGAGTCATGGCGAACACTTTGGTATAGACCAAAACGATCAAAAGTAACCCCTGTTCTCCGCTGTTCCTCCAACTCGCCGTCTCGATCCGTGTTGGCCGATCCTAGCCAATTGGGCGCCTTCTGCATGTAATAGCCAACATCACTCTCGGGGTGGTGTTTCGTTACGTCGTTCTGACCATGCTGTCCTGGCACCTGCTACCGGGCTGTCCCAGCGCAGTCTTTACTCGCCGTGTTCATGTAAAGAACGAATGAGGGGGGGAAATGGCCATGATAAACATTCGCACAAGCCACCAGCAGTTACAACAACACATTGGCAGTGGGTAAACGCGATGCGCTCCTCCCTACCTACCTAGGCACGCCCACCACAGGGCAAATGGCAGCTCCTTGGAGGAATAGGAACAGGAATAGGGACGGAACTAGGGGTAAAAAGGAAAAGAAAAATAGGAATAATAACAGGGAGAAAAATAAGAATGGGAAAGTTTACGGCACTAACAATTTTCATTCAATCTTTGGAACCTCCTATAAGACTGCCGTCTTTTCTCGAGGCGCCTCCCTCCCCCTCCCCGTCAGGGCACGGTTAGGTACCTACAGAGACCAAGAGGATAGATACCCAACCCAACTGCCCATGCAGTAGCCGCCAACGACAAACGACCACGTTGGGCAGCGAGCTGAAGCCGCGCCAGACAATTCATCCAACCCGGATTTTTCCCTCTCTCTGCATGATTTCCCGGCCGGTTGGGCACTCGACCTCTCCCAAAGTCAGGATTCATTGACCGATCGGCCCAGGAACACGCGAATCAGATATGCAGAGAGCACATGTGCCAACTAGACAGGGCAAGAGCCCTCTCGTCGCGTTTATTATGTCTCGAGATATTCCATATTCTACCCACGAGGACTAATAAGCCTTGATTTCCCCCCGCCTCAAATAACTGCCCGTGTTCATACATGCCAGCCCGGAAAATAAGGACATAAAGTGAGACTCGTCACTGCCGCATCTGGTCAACCATCTCGTACAGATCAATCAAAACATACGCCCGAATTTCCCCCACGACGCCTCGCTTGGGTGGGCTCGCGCACGTGCTGCTGTATAGGTATGTTGGGAGGTGTGCAAGGGGGGTATCCAACCGCAAACCAAAGGGTGAAAAAGGAAGAGGTGACAGCTGTCGGAGCACATTAAGAAATTAACAAAAGATAGAGTTGGGTGAGCCCAGTACCAAGAGGAAAAACAACATCGCTCAACAATTGCTCCAAAATGCAGAAAAATAAACAACAAGCGCACACTCTAGGAAATATGGGAATAGGAAGGGTGAGAACCCACGACGGACCATCATGATCCCGTCAGCTTCTTCCACCAGCTGCTCCTCGGCTGCGCATCCATAAAGGTCGACGTGCGTCGGCTGTGCTTGCGCTCGTCGCTGCCGTCGGACACGCCGCCCCCACTGCCACCGGCCCGGCGGTCACGTTCGCGGTCGCGGTCGCGGTCGTCTCTGCCCTCCTTGCGCCTCCGCCGCCGGGCTTCCTCCTCAGCAGCAGCCGCCCTATCGTCGTCGTACTTGCTCCGTCGGCGGTCTGCCCTCCGTGCTGCCCGCCGCGCTTCCTCGTCGTCGTCGGGCGAGGCGCTGCCCCTGCCTTCGTCCTGGGGTGGCTGCGCGTCCGAGTTGTCCTTGACCCAGGACGACGTGCCAGAGTGTGGCCAGCCGTCCTTGTGTCGTTCGTCGGCTTGGTGCGACTTGCTGCGGGAGTACACTCGCTCCTCCCCGCGACGCCGGGGTCGAGACTCAGCGCCGCTTTGCGTGCGGTCGGCCTCACGCGCTGCACGCCGCGCCTCGTGGCGCCGTCGACGCTCTTCTTCTTCGTCCCTCTCGCTCTCGTGGCGCCGGCGCTCGTGGCGCGACACGCCAGCGTCTTCGGCCTGTCGGTTGCGCTCGCGTTCTTTGCGCTGCCTTCGACGCTCGGCACGTTCGGCATCCCTCTGCTGCTCCTCGGCCGCCAGCCGCTCGGCTTCCTCCCGGGCGCGGTCCGCGTGCCGCTTCGCCCGCCGCGCCTCCTTCTCCTCACGCCTCCGAGCCTCAGCCTCCTCTTCCTGTTTCCGCCGGCGTCGTGCCTCATCCTTGGCTTGTCGGGGATCCTCCACGACCTTTTCGGTTCGGCGGGATCGGCGCGCAGCACGCCTAGCCTCTTCCACGTCCGTCACAGCACCCGAAGCGCCCTCGTGGTTCGCCTCGTCATCCGTCACGTACGTACCGCGTCGTCTGAGCTCGGGCCGGGCCGGCGCCGGTTCCGAGGAGCGTGGGTTCGACAGGATCCCGCCAAAGAGACCCGCAAGGCCCTTCTTGGTGCTCGAGCTGCTTCGCTTCAGTGGTGGTGGGGCTTCGTGGCGGTCCGTCACGAACACGTCGTCGTCCCTCGGCAGCTGCGTTGACTATGAATGAGTTAGCGACCGGGGCAGATTTGAAACCTCCTGATACCTTCGCTGGGGGGGAACCCTACCTTTGAGGATCTATGCCGTCGGCCATGCTCCGGGCCGTGAGCCTCGATCACTACGACATCGTCCTCGTCTGCAGTCCGCACCTTCTTCCGCCTGCTGCTGCTCTTGACGCCCAGGATCTTGGCTGCCTTGTCCGTCATCTCGGGCACCTCCTCCTCGGGAGGTGGCGAGGCAAGGTCGTGATGCACATCTGCAGAGTGTCGGCGCGACGGCCGACTAGGTCTCCCGTCGCGTGTCGATGCTGACTTGGACAAAGGCGGCGTGCTTTCAAAAACGCTTGCCATGCGCACCTTACCGGACCCGTCCCTCATGCGCTCGGGCCGCGCCTCCGGGGGCGGAGACCCCTCCGCCGGGCGGTGCTTTGACGAGGACAGCCCGTACTCCCTCTCCTTCCGCTCGGACCTGGAAGAGTGCTTACGTTCCTCCTTTCGCGGCTGCGGCTGCGGCTGCGGCGGCGGCGGCGCCGCCGCGTTCCACATGCCCCAGGAGCCCGAGTTTTCGCGGCTGCCCCTGGGCCGCTCCTTTCTCCTCCCGTCATGCGGCGGCGACAACGGGACTTCAGGTACGGCGGGGGGAGGGGGTGGCGCGAGGGGGACGGGGGGTGGCACCAACGTGACGGGGTCACCCTTGGAGCGTGACTTGCTGGTCTTCTTGCTCGACCTTTTGGGTGCCTCGACAATTTCGACAATTTCGACAATTTCGTCCCCGTCTTCATCAGGAAACGCACCAGGAGCATGCGATCTTCGATGCCTTCTTGGAGGGACAGGGTCTTCAAGCACCTCAACCCGAGGCGGCTCTCTGTCTCGCTTGGACCTAGAACGGGCCTTTCTATCGTCGGCTGGTGGTGGCGGTGGCGGCGGCGGCGGAGGCAGTGGTTCTTGTTCAGGCTCTCCGTCGTCTTCGCTCACCTCGGGCGGGTCTTGGACGGGCTGAAACGCCTTGAGGCGGTCCGCAATCTTGCCACCATAGGCCTTCTTGGTCCTCGGAGCCCTCGCGTCCTTCCAGACATCGGCACCAAGAGCGTCGTCATGGACTGTCATGACGTCTTCCGGGGGCGGAGATGGCACGACCGGCTTGGCCTTTTTGGATGCGCCCCAGAAGCCGAACGCGTCGGATGACAGAGCGGGTGCTGCCACGGGCGCTGAGGGCGGCGAAGGAGGCGCTGGGGCCTTGGAGGGCGGTGCGCCCTTCAGCAGCTCCTCAACTTCCTCTGGCGAAAGACCAAGCAGGTGCTGGTCCAGATCCTCAACATCGTCATCCTCGCCTTGACCCTTGGCCTCGTCGCCGTCTCGCGTTTTGTCCTTGTCCTTGTCCCTGCTCTTGCTCTTGTCCTTGGATGATATCTTGGCGCTTGCTTTTTCGGCATCCCTGGACTTGGACTTGGACGAGCTCTTCTCCCTGTCCTTGTCCTTGTCCTTATCTTTGGACTTGGACTTTTTCTTGGAGTCCGCCCCGATGACCAGAGCAGCCGCCGCCACTGCCGCTGCCTCAGCCTCTTCTCGCTCACGCTCCGCCTCCTCTTCGGCTTCGCGGGCCTCGGCTTCTTCGGCTTCGCGGGCGGCTTTCTCCTCGGCCTCGCGTGCTGCAGCTTCTTCGGCCTTACGAGCCGCCTCTTCCTCGGCTTCTTTCGCTGCTTGCTCTTCGGCCTCACGAGCCGCCTTTTCTTCGGCTCGTTTATTCGCCTTGGCGCTGAGCAGGTTGTACCTGGCCTGGTCCGCTTTCATCAATTTCTTGAGCCTCGAGGTATCCTTCTTGACTTGCAGCGCTGCGAGCTCGGCATCCTCGCGCATGGCCTCGGCGGCTTCGGCATCCTTCCGCTCCTGTTCTTCCCGCTCCAGTCGCTCCTTTTCCTCGGCCTCGCGCTGGGCAGCCTCTTCGGCCTCGCGCGCAGCTTCTTCTGCCTCGCGAGCGGCTTGCTCCTCGGCCTCACGGGCGGCGGCTTCTTCGGCCTCCTCAGCCTCTCGCCTAGCACTCTCCTCGGCCTCTTGCGCCTCCTTTTTCAGCCGTTTCTCCTCGGCCTTTTCGGCCTTTTTCTTCTCCTTCTCAAGCTTCTCCAGTTCCTTCTTGCTAAGCTTGGGCTCCTTCTTTTTGTCCTTCTCTTTTTCCTTGTCCTTCTCTTTGCTTTTGGACTTGGAAATGCTGGCCCAGGGGTTGTCGTCGTCGGGCTTGTCGTCCTTCCCTTCCTCGTCACCGTCGAGTTCGACGGACAAGAGATCCGTCTCCTCGACCTCCTCGGCTGGGGGGTTCTTGCTGCTGGACTTACTCTTCTTTTTCTTGGTAGCGGCGGAACCCCAAGTGTCATCGATGACAGGCTCCTCAGTGACATCAGGCTTGGGCTCTTCCTTCTTTTTCTTTCCGCCGCTCCCGCCCAATCCGAAGGCGCTCCAGAAGCCACCACCACCGCTTTCAGGCTCCTCCTCCTCCTCCTTGTCCTCCTCCTCGACGGTCTCCTCTTTGTCGAGATCAATCAGTGAATCCTCAACCTTCTTGCTTGTCTTGGCCGGGTCCCAACCGGCCCAGTCGTCAGCGGCGGGCTGCTTGGCGGGCTCGGGCTCGGGGTCTGCCGTCTTGCTTTTCTTCTTCTTATCCTTCTTGGAGGACGTGGTATCTTGGGCAGGAGGCTCCGCTTTGGTCTCTTCAACCGCGCCTTTCTTCTTCTTCTTGTCCTTCTTGGAGGGCATGGAGAAGCCCAAGGCGTCTTCGTCGGCCTTCTCAGGCTCAGGCTCAGGCTCAGGCTTCTGTTCGGGCTCCGGTTCGGGGTCGGGTTCAAGCTCGGGCTCGGGCTCCTTGACTGGCTCGGGCTCCACGATGGTCTTGCTCTTCTTCTTCTTCTCTTTCTTGATCGGAGCTGCCCAGCCGGCTCCAGCCCATCTGTCGTCCTGCTTGTCCTCCTTGACCCTCGACTCGGGCTCGGGTATTGCATCAGCCTTTTTGACGACTTCGGGCTCTGCGGTCTTGCTCTTCTTCTTGTCCTTTGTGCTAGAACCCCATCCAAGCCCCCAGCTGTCTTTTTCTTCCTCGACCGATTCCGTTTCTATCAGAACCTCTAGCTCCGGTTCCGGAAGCTGGGGGGGTGGCAACTCCTCGACCATGGCTTTGCTCTTCTTCTTCTTCTCCTTCTTGGTGGCAGGGGGGTCCCATATAGAGTCGACCTCAACCTTGGGCTCGGGCTCAGCAGGCTTTTCTGGCTCTGGGTCTGGTTCCGGCTCCTCACCAGGCTCGTCCCAGACGGAAAGCTTGGTTTTCTTCTTTTTGTCCTTTTTCGTCGCTGGCGGGGCGCCCCAGCTAAAGCCGATGTCTTCCTTTTTCTCCTCTGCCTCTTCTTCGGCCTTTTCCGGCTCCGGCTCCGGCTCGGGTACCAGCACTGGCTCGGGAGGCGGAAGCGGAGACTGAGGAGGAGGGACCTCGTCGGCGCCACCTTTGCCCTTCTTCTTCTTCTTTTTGGTCGGAGCAGCAGTGGCAGCACCCCAACCCCACGCGGCATCGTCTGTCGGCGGCTGATGTTCAGTGTCAGGGTCCTTGGGTGGGAGTGTCTCTTCGACTGGAGGCTCCTGCTTTTCAGGCTCCTGTTCCAGTTCCGGGACCGGGACCGGCTCATTGATCTCATCGTCCCATAGCGAGGTTTTGCCTTTTTTGGGCTTGCTCGCCTTTAGTGCAAGTCCCCATGGGTCTTCTGGCTCCTTGGCCTTGACCTTTGGGGGCTCGTCCGCAACCCTTGTCTTGTTTGCCTTGAGACCCCAGGCCCCGAAGGGGTCGTCCTCTTTCTTTTTCTTCAAGGCAGACATTATGGGCGCAGGAGCAGGTTCCGGGGCAGCCTTGGGTTCCACAGTCTCGCCGAATTCCAAGGTCGTGCTCTTGCCCTTCTTGCTCGCCTTGTCTCGATCGAGACCTCGCGAGTTCTCAGCCGCAGGCTTCACTGGCTCGGGTGGTGGTTTGACCTCTTCCATGTGGACTTGTGACTGTTTTGAGTCGTTCTTACTACCCCAACCGCCCCAGCCCCATGAGGAGAGCTTGCCTACTGCGGCTTTGGTGACCTTTCTGAGGTCGACTTCGATTGTCGGGGCGGGTTCATCCGGCTTGACATCGTGAAACGCATTCGAGGACTTGGCTGGGGGGTATTGCTCCTTTTGCTCGACAACCGGCGGTTCCTCGGCAGGTTTTTCCTCGACAACGGCCACACCCTTCTTCTTCTTCTTCTTGGGAGTGGATGACACTGCCCAGGGGTCGTCGATGGCGGGCTCGGGATCATTCTTTTCGTCACCCTTATTGTCGTCATCATTCTTGTCTTCCGCATCCTTCTTGTCGTCGCCCCCACCTCCAGCACCTCCATCGCCGGCGCCGTCGCCGGCACCATCGCCGGCACCATCACCGTCCTTGTTCTCGGCGTTCTCGTCACCGCCGCCGCTCGGAGCCTCCGGAGGCGGGGGCGGTGGTGGTGGCTGCTGGACAGGGGGTTTCTGATTGACACCCTTCTTCTTCTTGGCAGCTTCCCGGAAGCCGCCTTGCCAGCTGAAATCAACATCGGCAGCTGCGGCCGGGTCGGCAAACAGGCCGCTGTCACGATTCCTGCGTCCTGGTGTCCTATCGAGCGAAGGCCGGGGAGGGTCTAGATTTGCAGCGGAAGGAGGCTTGCGAGAGGCTAGCTCGGAAGTGGTCGTCTGGTCGCTCGGAAGGGTTGGCGAGCCGCAGTCGTCCCACTCATGACCTGGTGCAACGAGGCCGCGCTGTGCTAATGTCCGCGACCAGCACGGGCCGAGCTTTGGTGCTGTGAGGAGCGCATTCGCGTGTCTAGAATTCTCCTGGCCGCAGAAACTCAAGGGTTAGGACATTGGCTTGTTTTGCTTTCGAGAGACGAGAAATACGGTTCAAGCACAAAAGCACCGAGGCCCGGCCCGTTCCTCCCGGCCAGGAGAAGCCAGGGGTGGTGCATCCCAAGAGGCCGGGCCAGCCTACTGGTCGGAACACTCTAAATCCAACCGAAGCGGGATCGGGCGGGCCACGTAGGCATGCGATGACGGCAGCACAAGAAATCCGGCGACGGGGACGGTGGGCTCGGCTTGGGTATTTGGGCAAGAAAACAGATATGAAATTATAAGACGAAAGGTAAAGAACTGGATCCAACATCGCTCATCACTCACCCGTTTAGGGCTCGCTAGCCACGCTCTCGCAATGCATCTCAGCCTCAAATGCACGTCCTCCGGGGTCCATGGAATGACATGGTCACCCAATCCAGCCGTCCTCGTCCCAAGATGGGTTGCTGGCCACCCAGACGCGCCGCGGTCTCCTGTCCAGACATGGGGCGGGGAGAACAAAACCTTGGCCGTGGCCATCCTGAAGGTTCAAGGAGTTCACAGTGTGATGGCGGGCGGGTATCAGACCCATGGAAGCTATCGGCGTAGGCTCGCAGTTGCGCCAACCGTGAAGACGAAACAAAGTGCGGGGGATGTAGTGTGTGTTCGGGAGAGGGGCGCCTGTGTCCCAACAGGGAGGCAGCGGCGCAGCGGTTCGCAAGCTTGTCGTCGGGTGTGGACAGGCGTTGTCCTTGGGTGTCGGTCGAGGGCGGTTTCGGCGGCTCTAGACTAAACAATTGAGAGATGAAGAACAAAAGAAGAAGAAGAATAACAATAGTAATAAAACAACAGCCTCGAAGATGGTTCTCGCGGGAGGGCGAGTTGGAAGTTCGTCACAAGGTGTTCTGTTGGCTGGTGTTACTAGACCGACTTTTTAGAATTTGCCGTGCGTCCCTATCGGCCTCGTTCCTTTGACTCCTGCGCATGCAAGGAGGATGATGGGCTGCGAAAAGGGGGCCAATTGCGCGGTTGGGTCTAGTAGGAAAAAAGAAGGGCGCGTGTGACGGGATTGGTGAAGTCGCGGTGCAGTGCGACACACCCTCGCGGAGCTTTGGAGGGGCGGTGCGTATCACCACTTCAAGTCCCGTTTGTGTTTGTGCTTGTGCTTGCAGGCAGCCTCCTCTGGTGAGTGGCCCTCTGCGGCTGACCACGTTTGGTTGCGGCAAGCAAAGGAGAAAGGGCGCGACTTACATGGCGGGCCGGCGTGGATGGCGAGTGAAAAGAAAGCACGGCGACGAACGCAAAACGGAAATTGACGTGACGAGACGATGGCTGGGCGGAGCAGTGGAGCACGGAGGTGCCCGGTCGTGAACACGCCTTGTTGTACTGTGTACAGGGTACCGTGCCTATTGAAGTACAGTGGGCAGCCCCCCGTCAGTGAGGGCAGACAGGGGAAACGAGGCTCGCTACCGGTCCTCGCGTCCACTAGGCGGCGTGTTCTTTTCTTCTCGCGTTTTTCTTCTCTCGTTTTTCCCCACAGGCTAGGCAAAAGAACAAATCGCAAAAGCAAAGATCAAAGGGAGAAAAGAGCAGGCGGGGAAACGGGACGGGGTAAGGGGGACAAGACTCATCATGTGCTCGCATTGATGGGCTGGCTGGGAAGAGATGCTTGGACATTGGTTGTGTGGAAGCGTGCTGTTTTCGCGGATGGATGACTGTGATGCAGCGTCGTCATTGGCTCCAGGGTGCTTGCCCGCCGCCCACCGCTTTCCAGATGGGGGTTTGATGGAGCACTGAGCACTGGATGGAGGCAAGAGGCGTTGCTGAGGCCCACACGGGCGTCAAGGGCGTTGATCACTTGCGCGCCCACCCACCATCCGCGCGTGCGAGGGTTGAGCTCAATCCTCCGGCCTTCCCACCTCCCACACCTTTCACCCCACCTTGCACCCCCCTCTCCCCATCTTTCCCTGTCCCGAAAGCCGGACGGCTGCAGCGTTATTGGATTGGCAGGCGGGCACCTGACACACGCACCCTCCGATTGACTGCTGGCCTTTTGCCTGACACGCCCCTCAAATTGCTCTCCTCTGGCTCTGTTTGGTCCAGGCTTGGTGTTTGCTCGACCCCTCAATCTCCTTGCTGCTCCCCTACTCGTGCGTGCCTTCAGCCACAACCAAACTGGGCTCCTCCGAGTGTGTCACTTGTGTCACCTGCCCTTATCCGGCATTAAGCTGGCGTTTTACCCGCCGCTGGGGAAAACAGCAAACGAGTTAAATTGGACGATGGCGTTAATCTCATACTAGGACTATGTGGACTGCAGGGTAGGTACCTACCTAGGTAGGTAGGTGCCTCCCTGGATCCGCGAATCCGCATGCCTTCTCTCCTGACATTGGCGTAGTTTCTGCGACATGGGGCTTTCAGTGCTGCATAGGCTGGGAAACGGTTGAATGTCGGGTCCCATGCCCGCTGTCAGTTGCGCCTCGAGGGCCACGGCCGAATAAAGTCGCGGTGGAACCCGCGCCAAGGTATCGATAACATTGCAGGCTGGGCAGCCATGCGCCATCAGTGCCAGTCTCGTGTGCATTTCAGGGCTCCCTGGCTGGGGTTTTTCCCTCTTGCGATGCCCGCATGCCTGCCTGCATGCTGCCGCTGCACGCGGCAAGGCATCCCATCCCTTCTTACTTGATTCCTCCTCCATCCACGACGCCCGGCTATGCAGCCTGGCCTCCACCGCAGCAGATGATGCAACGGGAAAGCACCAGGCGCAGCAGCAGGAGAGCGAGCCAGGCAGGCGAGTGCAGCAGGGGTCTTCCGTGCTCCCCTCCCCTCCCGCCATGCCCTCTCCTTCCCATCCCACAGGATGGCCCCTACGCTCCGGCTCCTGGTGTGTCGTCCCACCCTGCCAGAGCCAGCTGGGTTCGGTGTTCTTCGCGTCGCCAGCCACGGCTTGGGGCCGGGAGGCTGGCTTTGGTGGACGTTTCAGACCCTTCTAGATGCTGGGCTGGTGCCAGTGCACGTTGGTATCTCGGAAAGGAGCTTTACGCCATTCCTCTCTTGGCTCTCTGGGGATTCGAAACAACAGGATCGCGTGCATAATACTAGCAGACGCATGCAAAAACCAAAGCATGCGGGCTATCGACCTACCGGCGTCACAGTGTGTCGGTTCGGCAGGCAAAAAGAGAGGCAAAAAGTCACAGCCACCAAGCCCAGCCCACCCAAGTGACCCAACCCAGCCTCCGAGCCCAGCCTTTCACAGCACAAAACACAACGGTGGTGGTGAGAGCACTGGGCGCATGCCTTCGCATATGCAGCGTCCCGCCAATGGCTGGAGGCCCGGTCTCCAGAAGGGGCAAATGGGCTCCACCCAGATGCATCTTCACCGCTAGAACTTGACTTTACACAGGCGCATCGTCACCAAGCACAGAGTTGGCTAGACGACGATAAAGCGAACATGAAAGAGGGTGTGGACGGCAGCCGCCTGGGGCCCATCCATGCCGCGCGCAGCGTAGCGCGAGGTGCAAGCACCCGTCGGGCCACTTGTTTGTGCGGTTTCTGCCCTCTGTGATTTCCCGCCCAGGTCTCGTCGCAGCCCAAGCTCTTTTTATGACATTTAGCGTCACGGCCCTCTCTGACCGCCCCTCTCGAGGCCGCCGGGACGGGAACCCGAAGAGAAAATAAAAAGAGCATTTGACAAAGAAGCCAGCGAAGCTGATAGATACTGCTAGACACATGGGCTAACGATAGGCAGAGGGGCGTTCCGCAACGGCTCGGGCCCTCCAAACGTAGGCTTCCAGCATGGGAAGCCCACCATCGGTCCATAGTGTACCATTAATGTTAGACAGTCGTCATGACTGCCTTTGGAGGGGTGCCCCGCCCGTCCACCAAGACGACCCCGGCAGACGCAGCCAGCGCTGCATCGGGTGTCTGCTGGAGGGACGGGGTTTGTTGTTGTGATTTCCCGGAACCAGCCGATGGCGCATGGGGGGGAGAGACGCTGTGTCGGCCGAGCACCCCCGGACCGAGAGGGACCGGGGTGGGAGATGGAAGGCTGCTTGCCGCTGCTCCGAGATCCGAGCAGGCATCGCCAAGGAACGGGCGCCACAAGCTGCCAGCTTGGCAGGCCGAGCTCATCGGCCAGGCCAGGGGGCCACCCACACGCTGCATGAGCCACATGCGCAAGGAGCTGCCGTGCCACAGCGAGCAAATGAAAACATGCAGTTCTGACAACATCCTCATCACCCTGGAAAAAGGAAAGAGAGGTTTGATTCTAAAAAAAAAAAACCGTTGGCACGAGGGCAGGCCCCCAAAAGAATGGCCGGACCCCCTGTCAGCCAGCAGATGCTGCTCCTAGGCGCCGCTTTTAGACCCTTGCATCACGTTTCAGGGCGGGGAGTGCTCGAGCTGTCATCCAGTCCAACCGCGAGCACATGTGCCGCAGCTCTGTGGCTCTCAGGAGTCCAAAGAGGGCTCATGCTTCTTCATTCCTTTCTCGTTTTTTTCCTCCTTTCGCCGCCATTTCTTTGTCCTGTTTCCCGAGTAGTGCAGTATCCCAACCCTGCACGTAGAAAGCGGCCACGACTCGTTTGTTTCCAGCAAGCATCCCACATCTACGTCATACTCCTTCCTCCCACCACACCGCCACAAACCTCCTCCTCCTCCTCGCTCGCTCGGCGTTGACCATCATCAGCCATCAGCCGCACACCCCCCACCCCCCGCGACCCCGACCCCGACCCCGACCCGACCCCCAAAAAAAAATGGCCCGCATGACCATCACGGTTGCGGCGCCGCTGCCGCCGTCGGTGCCGCCGCAGGCCGTCATCGACGCGCTGCACGCCTCGTACGAGCCGCTGATCCGGCCGCACCCGTTCCTGCGCCGGTTCGAGCGCCGGCGCCTGTCGGTGTCCGAGGTGGTCGACGACCCCTTCTTCGAGGCCGACGGCGCCAAGCTCGAGGCGTACGAGGTGGTGGAGCGCGTGCCCATCCTGCCCGTCCCCGGCTTCCACAAGGACATCGTCATCCCCGCCGTCTTCCAGAGCTTCGCCCGCGGCGTCCGCTGCCGCGCCGACACGTCGGGCGTCCGCATCTGGAGCGTCTACGAGGTCCGCCCGCTCTCGGCCGCCTCGGGCACCGGGGTTGGTGCCGGCGGGGCAGACGGCGAGGCCTGGGAGCTGCTCGAGACGGCAAAGGTCGAGTGCAACGCCCTGGTCAAGCCGTTTGTGCAAAAGAACTTCATCACCGCCCACCGCGACATCCTCAAGGGAACCATTGCCGAGATCGCCACCATGCAGGGCCTGCCGAACGGTTCCGGCTCGGGGCCCGTCAGGGTGACCACATGACGTCTTGCCTCGTGCGCTTGCTTGTTTCTCATGTATCTCTACACCTCTCCTTTCTGTGGTTTCTGTCGGGTTTCCATCTTCATATCTGCTTCCAGGCACACGGCGGAGTCACGGCTTGTCAGACATTTCCATGGGTTTTTTCGTTTCTGCTTGTCATACACGCGATTATGGCGGTTTATACCCATGTTGTGGTTGGGGCGTTCACATGCTTTGATCCTCCAAGACTGCTCTCAATGTTATTGCTATTCGCTATTTATCGTGTACGCCAGGCCGCGCGCACATCAAACTCGAGAAGCCTTATTCAAGAAACTCTTGGAGCTATATTCATGCGCGCCCTATGCGCAAAACACGCCCCATCACATGTGGTAAACGAGCTTGTAGCCGCTGACCTTGCCGGCCTTGAGCTCCTGCAGCCCCGCCAGCACGCCCTCGAGCCCCCTGCCGCCGCGGTCCGCCTCGGGCGTTGCGGTCTTGAGCTTGCCCTCGGCGAGCAGGCCATCGGTCAGGGCCACAAACATCTTTGCGTGCTCAAAGTCCTCGGGCTTGGCCGGGTACTCGGCCCACTTGGAGAAGGCCTCGCCGACGGCCGTGTAGCCCAGCGTCATCATGGGTGGCGCCATGGCCGGGTTGGCCTCCTTGATCACGGCCGGGTCCACATACAGCAGCGCCGAGTATTTGGCGCCGCCGTCCGCCCCGGGCTCGCTGTCCATGGCCGCCGCGCAGCCCCTGGCGCTGTCCGCCGACGCGATGCAGTCCCAGGCGTGCCGGAGCTTACCGCCCGTCGCCTCGCGCACCGCCCCGGGCCAGCCCGCCGCGTCGCCGTAGTCGAACACCTCGTCGGCGCCGAGCGAGCGGAGGTAGTCAAAGTTGCGCGGCGACGCCGTCGTCAGCACCCTGAAGCCCGACAGCTTGGCGTACTGGATGCCTAGGATGCCCGTCGCCGTGCTGCCGCCGTAGATGAGGATGGGCGTGCCCGCCGCCGCCTTGACGCCGGCCTCGTCGCTCGGGAGCGGTAGCTTTAGGGCCTGGTAGAGTCCTTGGCCCTGGGATTTTTTCGAAAGGGTAAATGTTAGCTTAGCGCCTGTGTGTTGTCGGTCCCAAGTATCAAGTCGAGTTCTCAACGGAACTTACACAAGTCACGACGCCGACGCCGAGCGTGCTAGCTTCCTCGTCGCTCAGGCTGTCGGGGATCTTGAGCTGGATGTCGCCCTTGGCGACGATGTACTCTCCAAAGGCGCCGCCCTCGGGCGCGCTCTTGTTTCTACAAACCAAAAGCGAAGCTGTCAGCTTTTAGGAAGACGAAGAAGAAGACGACGAAGAAGAAGAAGAAGAAGACAAAGAAGAAGAAAAAAGAAGAATCAGGGCACAAAAAGACAAGACGCACGATCCATGGCACAAGCCGGCGATGCGGTCGCCAGGCTTAAAGTCCTTGGTGACGCCCTTGCCGACCTCGACCACCACGCCGGCGTAGTCGCACCCCACCCGCCCAGCGCCGAAGGGGCCCTCGACGTGCTTCCAGTCGGTTGGGTTACTAAGAGTTCGCGTGCCAAGAGTGTCAGTGACAACAAATCACGAGGGGGAAAAAGGGTTGGGACAAGTTCAAGGTACGCACAGCGCAACGGCCGTCGGCTTGATCAAGATGTATCCGTCCCTCAGCCTCGGCGTCGGCACCTCCTCGATGGCGGCCTGGCCCAGGCCCTTGACGACCACGGCGCGGGTGGTTGTGGGAGCAGACATTGTGTATTTCACCGGATGCCTCTTTTTCTTGAAAAGAACAGGCTCGGACTGATAGTATCAGGCGGGCCGGCAGGAAAAAAAAGAGATGGTTTCCAGGTCCCCCCCGTCCACGGTTCATATAGGCAGGACTGTAGCCCGTCGTTATATGGGGACAACCTTGCTGTGAGAGGGGCATCGGTGTGGGGTTGGGCAGGAAGAGGCAACAAGCCGAGGCGGCGGGGCGCTTTTACTAATCCACACACGCTGAGGCATCGCCATTTGTGATAGGATAGAGCGTGAGGATAGGCGGGGCTGGGAGGTCAGGTAGGCAGTCATGTCCGTCCGGCTGGGGGGAGACATCACCGTGACAGACGAGCAGCGATCAAGCCTCTCCGCATACTACTCTGCCAATAACCCCAGAGCCTCGGGGGCGGACCAACCGGCTGCTTTGCTCTTAGAATCTCACATCATCTCATCAATGCTTGGAAATACATAGCCCATCACACTGGTCCCCAGGTGGTGAGTGTGGCGATGTGGTGTGATCGGTTATCATAGCGAACAGATGACAGCAGCAAGGCCTTTAGCTCAAAGAAACCACTAATTTGTCAGCAGGCAACACCTATGCACACCGAGGTGGAGGCAACATTCGGGAATACTTGAGCGGGTTAAAAAGTGTCGGCGATAAAACTGGCATTCAAACATAGGTATGCTCAACAAGCCATACACGTTCCCCGAACAGGAACTTGCGCTCCTTCGATGTGCAGGAAATAAGATACTGGGTATATATAAATGTCACTCCGAAAGCAGAATGAATCCTTGGGCATGATTGAGAGTAGACTATCTGTAAACACCCCAAATACACGGCCGCCATGTCCAAAGGCCATTTGTGAACTCCAACAAAACCACCAGTAACCAAAACGCAAAGAAGTCACACGCAATTTAACTAGGTAGGGTGCTATCAAGAAGAGAAGAGTCGTGGACAAAAGAAACATAACCGGCATTGATAGATAAATCATTGCATGACCGTTGTCGTCCAACTAAATGGGGCCAAGACTAAAAGGACACAAACCAGAAATAGCCCGTCGTCGGAGACTTCAAAAGTTCCAGACACACGAAGAAGAGAGTAGTTTGGCAACAAATGCGCCGAGCGCCGAGCAAAAAAGAAGAGGCAAAACATTCCAGCGTCAAGATACCTGGGAGGAGCGGCTGTGATGAACACGTGGTCCCATAGCGCCGCCATTATCGGCCGCCATAGTCACTAGCGTAGCCTATTTCGCCAAAGCCCTCGCCCATCCCGCCCTGGCCAAATCCTGTGCCGGGGCCCGAGACGTAGCCTCCATCGTCGACGTCGTCGTAATCGCTGGCATCAAAGCTGCTGCGGCCCGACACGTCGTCCTGGATGCCGGAGTTATCTTCCATGCCGCCAGGACCCCAGTTCATCTGGGCGAGCGCGGGGTATTGTGCGATAAGCGCGGCAGGCAGGGCGTAGTTGCCAGCGGCGTCGACAGGATAGCCCGTGTTGGGGTCTATGCCGGGCATCATCATGTTCTGGTGCTGTTGCGCCACGGCCTGCAGCCTCTGCTCCTGCCACAGGCGTTGACGCTCCATAATCTCCTCGTCCAGCAGCGGCTTGATGCAGATGCGCCCGGCCTCGGACCGGAAGTGACGCCCAAGCGCATCGGCCCGCGCGAACCGCCGCCCACAGCCCCACTGGCCGCCGGCTTTGAGGTCTCCCTTGCAGACAAACTTCTTCTCGCCCGAGTGCAATCCCTCGTGGCGCTTGCGATCGTGCTGCCGAGCAAAAGCCTTGCCGCACACGTTGCAGACGAAGGGGCGCTCGTCCGTGTGCGTGCGCAAGTGACTCCTAAGGTTGTACGCGCGTGTGAAGCGCTTAGGACACAGAGAGCACTGGAAGGTGGCAGGGTGTTTCTGAACCCGCTTGGCGCCACCGTTGGCCCCGGGAGCCCCATCGGCGCCCGCCTGGGCAGCGTACTCGGGGTCGGCCAGGCGCAGCGCCATGATGTTGTTGGGAACTGACGAGGTCGACTGCCGTCTTCTGTTGGGGGAGGCACTGCCCCGGTCCAGAGGCGACAGAGAACGGGAAGAGTCCCGCGAGGACACGTCTGGATTGGGCGACAGGCTGTTGCTCGCATGCCGGGGTAATGGCGTGACGCCGCTGCTGTATGGGTCCGTGACCGCACGGGGTCTCGAACGCACCCGACCTGTGTGGTGGACCATGGTCAGCATGGGGGGTATCGGTGACGCACACTAAGCTCACGACTCTATAGGCTCAACATACCTCTTTCGGGCGGCGTTAGTGCATCAGTATCTATCATGGACTTGTTCTCGAACCCACTCTTCATCGAGGTTGGGGCAAAGTCGATGTTGATTGTGGGGGCCTGCATCTGCATGCCACCGTCCAAGGTCTGCGGGAGCTGGGGGAAGGCCTCGGCGGCTTGCACATTAAACTGGGGGTGGGCAGCGTAGGCGTTGCCCTGGCCCTGCAGGATAAAGCCGTTGCCCTGGCTCATGTCGGGCAGCTGCCGCGGCAGGATCCTTGGTGAGATGGCGGGGCTGTTGGACGGGCTCCGTGCCCTCAGGTCGGGGCTGTGGTGGTGGGCATCCGACAGGCTGAAGGTGCCCATCCCGTTGAGCTCGTTGTACAGGCCCGACGAGTCTACTGGGCGCTGCATTGGCGAGTGCTCAATGTGCTCGAAGCTGTCGGAGCTGACCAGGTTCGGCGACGGCGCGACCGAGGACACATCCGAGAACTCGGAGGGGCTGCGCCTGTGGCCCTGGAACTGCGACGCGCTCCAGTCCACCTGGCCGGGGAGCAGGGCGGCCTCGGGGCCCAGCGAGGTGTGTCGCGAATGCCTTCCGGGCGGCGACGAGAACTGATGGGTGTTGAAGGACGGGGACTGGTGGGCGGAGCCGGGCTGGTGCGGCTCCGGCTGGAGCAGGTGGGGAGGGGTCGGGCTGTGGTGCGGTTGCGACGTGGCCATGGTAAGGTCTGGGGTGCCGAGTTGCGGCTGCGGCGACGACCGCTGTTGGAGCTGCTGCTGGGCGTCGCTCGTGACGAAGAGCGGGGTGTTGAGCTGCTCCGTGGTGGCGGGCGGAAAGAGAGAAAAGTCGGCCGACGCAAAGGAGCCGGCGCCGGGAGTGAGGACGTAGTCTTGCTGGTAGGGGGAGCACACGGGAGGGTCGCGGGCGAGGTCGAGTACGGGGTCGGTCAGCGAGTCGCTGAAGGGCTGCGGCTGGTGCTGGTGGCTGAGATACCCGTTGGAGTCGTTGCTGAAGCTGGGGAAATGTGACGAGACTATCCCTAGGCCGAGGCCGCTCTCGGACTGGGGAAAGGGCTGGGGCGCAGGGGACGGCGAGTGGCTTTGTCTTATATGGGGAGAGAGCTGTTGGGGGGTAGCAGACATGTTCGCGGCGGACGGCGATCGCCCGCGACCAGGCTCGGGTTGCCGGGATTGATCCATGGTGGTGCGCGGTGGTGCGATGGAGGGTGTCTGGCGATGGGATTGCAGGTGTTTCCGTCTTTAGAATCGAGGCAAGGCAGAAACGAGTCACAGTCTGCCAGGCACCGTGGCTATGCCGCGAAGGCTGGGGCTGTGTAGACGGGAGCGTGCTGTGCTGTGCTGTGCTGTGCTGTGCTGTGTGCTGACAAGACCCGGGAGCCACCCAACCAGCGCCCGCCAAAAGAATTCTAGGGGGGGGGCCTGCCTGCACCTCGACTGCAGAGGGCGGGTCCGAGGATTGATGGATTCCACTCGCACTCTTCAGGCAGCCCAGGGAGCAACCCAAGTCGCCAGTCGAGCCGATTTTGTGTTTGGGATAAAGAGCCGATTGTGCGAGTTCTGGGCGGGGACCAAAACGAGCACCAGACGCTGGGCGGCCTTTGCGTGCGCAGACGGGGGAGGGGAGAGGGGGGTGTGTGTGTGCGAGCGAGCGAGTGAGTGTGTTCAGGAGCAAGAGCTGGTTGGGGCGATCAATGCCTCCGATTCAATCAGTGCTGTGTGGGTTCGCGCACGTCGGTTTGCGCGGGCTGACGAACCACTGAGCGAGAAAACCTTGAGGAATGCGCCCGAGAGTTTCAATAGACAGGCGTGTGTCTGCGAGCGCAAGGACTTGGGAGACCGACTTTTACGACCTTTCTCGGTCGGTCGATCGGTCGGTCAATCAAGCAATCAAGCAATCAATCACTCAACCCTCACCCCAGTCGGTTATACTGGCTGGGGCTTTTTTGATTGCTTGACACACACAGATGGTGGGGAGGGAGTGGGTGAGCCCTGGCTCAGTCCAATTTCCCCTCCAACTCTTCCCTTCGTCAATGGTGGGGGTTTCTCCTGAGCGCTGAAAGTCAAGCCCTGTGCGCATGCGCCGTGATCAAGGATGCAAGCAGTCCAGCGTGGTGCCGCCACAACGGGGATGGGCGAGGCCTGCAGGGGAACACCGGATGGGAAGCCTGGTTCTCGCCAGTCCTGGTCCGGCCAAACGCTTCACCGACAACTGCCGTCTCACATGCGCGCCCGCCTTTTTGGTTCTTCCCTCGTAGTTTTGGGACCCGCGGGGAGGCTGTGCAGAGCTGTGGGTGCTTGGGAGGAGCCGGTTTCAAGGAACGCCGTGCACAAGCGCCGACAGCGTCTCCCTGTCCTGTCACTCGGATCCGGCGCCTCTCCGTGATCCGAGAGGGGCGTGGGAAAATGGAAAATGGGCAAATAACAGCGAGATATAAGGGAGGTAATGATGAAGCCGTTGAGAGGGCAAGAATAAAGGAAGAGAAAAAGAGAAGAAAAAAGGAGAGAAAGAAAACATCAAGTATCAAAAGAGACAACGGATCCAAGGCAAGGCCCGTCAGTTGGACTGGCCGAAGCTTATCTCGACGCAGCGCCTTTCACCCGTCACCGGTACACTGAATACCCGCCCGCGGTTCTTGTGGCGCCTTGGGACGGGCCTTTAGCTTTAGAGTTATGACTTGTGCCGCTGGGAGCTGCTGGGAGAGGCTGGGGGCCTTGCGGTTGCGCTCGCTTGTGTGTGCTGTGCTTGCAATGGCGCGCGACGGGAGGGTAGAGGGTGGATGGGCCAAGCGGCGGAGGGGTCAAGGTGGGCAAGCACGCGGGCTGGGCGAGCAGAGTGAGTGGCCAACGGAACCCAGGCACCTGCGACAGTGCCTGTGCAGGATATATTATGGACAAGACCGGTCCTAGCGCGATCCGAGTCGAGCGCCGAGCAAAGATGGCGCTTCTAAGATGGCGACGGCAGTTAGCTGGCCCAAGGAGCGCGGTACATACAGTATGGGGCGGGCAGGAAAAATGTCTCGGCCCTGTGCTACTTGTGCTACTGTAGGTCCATCCATCCATCCATCCATCCTAGCGCGCCAGATCGCCTCCCAGGGCCAGGCAGGGGCTAAAAGAGGCCGCCCGACCACCAGCCATTTTCCGCGACCGCCCTTGAGACTTTGTCTGTCGGTGGATCAGCGCTCCCGTACATAAGCGCTGCCCGGTTGGACATTTGAGGCCACTTGGCGCCCAGTGCCTGTCACTGCAGCCCTGGACAGGCTCGCCCGCACATCACGCGACGCATATGGAGATTGGATTGTGGTCTAGGTTCCCATGGAAGGATCAAAGTGGTTCTGCTTGCTTGCTGCTCTCCTCCTGCTCTCGCTGCCAGCATTGGCGGTCACGCAGCCCCAAACCAGAGGCTCCACGGCCCAGTTTGCGCCGAGCTTGTTCGCACAGGGCTGCATCTAACCAGCGGCGCCCCCGCATGATGGAGGGGGGAGGGGCAGCCGCGCACTGTGCGCGATGCGACCATGTCCCAGGCTAACCTAATCGCCTAATCGTCGCGAATATTAGCCGCCCGCCGCGATGCTCCCACACCCACCACGTCCCCTGCAGCAGCACGAATCGACGCCATGAGGTTGAGCAGACAAAAAAGAAATCGAAAGCAAGCCAACCGCGGCGAGACGGGCGCCCTGCCCTGGGCACTAACCACCCCCTGGCTAACCATCTCACTGGACGCCAGACGAGAAATGGGAAATGGGCTCAGAGGATGGGCGTGAAATCTCACATAATCCTCCGCTACCCACCCGCACCTCCCAGACTTGGCTCACGACAGAAATAAGTCGCACGGGACTATCGCCTGCGCCTTCGATTCGCCAGCGTCTGTCGTGTCGAATATTGACCGTAACTAGGTGGAATTCCCCCTCCATCTCGTCCCACGCGGGCTGGGAGGTCCCGCGGCGGCCCCTTGGGCTCTTGGTTCGGAACAATGCTGTGGAACTGGCGGGTCGCCCTTCCCTTTGGGATTGATTGCGAGCGAGTGCCGTTTCTTTTTTGCCTGTGCACAGAAAGGCCGTCGCACTCGGTCTCTGCCAGTTGTGCAGCCCGCTTGCGGGTGGCGGTTGGGCACCCTGACGATTGGGCACCCTGACAGAATGGTGCTACACAAGACAGGGGAAGGGTGGGGGGGTCAGCTTGAGCCCGTTTTTCTCCGTCGCCTTTCTCATCCATTTTCGGCTCAACCTGCTTTTTTGCCGCATTTGACGGGCAGTTGTGAAAAAGTGAACCGTGGATTTGATATCTGCCTTGCGGGCAACATCCAACAATTCCAATTCTTCTTTGGGCCGGTCGGGCTTCACAGCCCGATCTACCTCCAAGGTTGTCAAACATGTGACTTCTTGCAAATCCCGGTTTTATACGTGATCGACATGTAAGAACATGTCTAATGGATGAAGGTCCGCTAAGGCGCCAAGCCCATGCTTGCTTGCAAGCCAGGACCAACTATGTGCCTAGGAACGGACATGTTTTGAAGGTTTACTGTTAATTGTGATGCAGATTGGAGATTACTGGGTATACCGTGGACCTATCTAGAACGCTAGGCAGAAGCAAACATGTCAAGTTCCTTTCCCCCAAACACCTGATTTTATCCTTGAGAGCGCCTTTTGAACTCCACACAAAACCCGCCCAACGATGAGATGATGAAAAGACGAGTATAAAAGCATAATCTTAGAAAGGTCAACGACCTGTCGAGATCCAACCCCGGATCCCTCAACCGATGACCTCGCTTCGCTCGAAACCAGCAGGCCGGGTGAAGGCGACCGGGCGTTCCTTTCCGCCCTTGTAGTCACTAACGAAGGGGTTCGGGTCCTCCTTCTGGTCGAGGTTGCCCAGCGTGTGGTTGACGCCGCGGTGGTTGGCCTCGTCGGCGCGGATGTAGAGCAGGAGGTCGCGCATGGTGCGGTGGCCCTCGGGCATGCCCCAGTAGGCCACGGCGATCTCGGGCACCTTGAACCCCGGGTCGGACCAGCGGGGCAGCTGGCCGGCCTCGAGCTCCTTGATGCTGCGCGTGTACGTGTGCACGGCCTCCTCCTCGAGGTAGCCGACGAAGCGGTGGCAGATCTTGGGGCTGATCAGGTACGCGACGAAGAGCGCGTTGAAGTAGACGCCCTGGGCGCCCAGGATCAGCATCTTGAGGAACCAGCCGGGCTCGCACATCTTGAGGAAGGTGAGCAGGTGCATGCGCTCGTTGTAGGCCTCCTCCAGCAGCGTCTCGATCCAGCCGTTGTCCCGCTTCATCCGCCGGAGCGAGTGCAGGTGCCGGAGCATGCCGGCGACCATGCCTGGGACGCCAGCGATCGACTGTGCCGTGGTAGGTAGTAGCGTGTTAGGATGTGTGGCTACGTTTGACATGACATGAAAAAATATTAAAAAAAAAAAAGGTTGACATACCTCAAGGAAGATGTACCGCGTGAGCCACTGGGCCTCGGTCAGTGGCTTGAGCCCCTTGAGCTGGTCGGACGACATGGCGCTGGCCCGGTCCATGAACCAGCGGCTGGTGCGGACCAGGGCCCAGGCGAGCTTGTCGCCGGCCGTCTTGGGCTCGCGGTGGCCCGGCACGACCTCGGCCATCTGCTTCTCCGTCATCTCGTGGTGCGGCCACGACGGCGGCGTCTGCCGGATGTACGCCGTCTCCTTGGCGGGGAAGAAGTCGCGCAGCCGCGCCGCGCCCGTCGTGGAGAAGGGGCGAGGCGCGCCCGGGCTCGCGGCGCAGGCGGCCAGGCGGAGGCCGGTCGGGTGGCTGCCGCCCAGGTGGTGGGAGAGGGGCGCCGCCACTGCCTTGCCGAGCTGTGTGACCTGCCGCGGCGAGCAGAGTCGGGCGTTGACTCTTGGGGCGAGCATTGTGGTGTGAGCTATGATGTGAGGAGGCTGTTCTGGACTGAGCTGGGGCGAGCTACCGATATCCTGGGTCAGGAAGGTAGGGATGTGAAGTGGGTGGTCAATACCTAGGCTATAAATCTAGCCAAGGGTTGTTGTTGTCAGATACTGTTCAGTAAGGGCTATGATAGCCTGAGGAGCAAATATGCCGTGTTCCTGGACGACCACGCCGTTGCCCAACAAACAGCCTAGTTTTATATGCGCATGCAGGGCACGTAGGTAAGCAACCGGCAAGCACACGACAGCACAGCCCAACGAACACACCCGGGCGTAATCGGCCCAGCACGGAAGAGATCGGGCTCGTATACACAGCCCTAGCCATTGTGCCGGGGAATGACAAAAGCTAGTCGGCGACTCGCCGCTCAGCGCGGAGCATTATTTGTCTTGTTTGATGCCATCCTGTTTTCGGCGGTCGTTGGCCAGGCTTGCAAAGACCCCCATTCCCCCCTGGCTTTGCGGCGACTTCGCTTGCCTAATCGGGCGGTCGGGGAGCCAGTCGGGGAAGTCTCCCAGGGCTGCGGTTCCGTTGCATTTTCGCTGTTGTCAAGCACGTGCCGCGTGCTTCGCCGAAATCTCGCCGTTGCTGACATCCAAATATGGTATTTTGGCGTGCCCGATGGAGCACAAGGGAGCAAAGCCCGTGGCTAGGTTGGCCTGGGCCGCATTTGACTCACAGGCTGGTTTGATTTAGCTAAGATGTTTCTGGTCGCCATCTCGTTACGCTCGTGTACTGTGTGCCTTGCTACTTTTCAATCCCATGATCACGGGTTAAATACCTTGCATTTCCTAGATTATTTTCGCTTTTGTCCGGGGTCTATCCCCGTCCAAGGTAATCATGGAGCAAATTCATCGGACTTGCCGTCCCAAGTGCGACGACCCGAGCCCTGACATTTGACCGCGTGTGTGTGCTTTTGGTGGGCTATTGTGTCTCTTCTCCATCCAGCCGTTCTCTGGCATTGGATGCTAGTCTTGCCTGCAAACGGTCGAGGCATGGGGGCAAAGCTGAGCACGATGCAGAAGAAACTCGAATAAAGCTGAGACTTGCACAGGCGGGCTGGCCCAGGCAATCAACGCCGGCGGGTCCTGCCCCGTTTACCCCTCCAGAGGTCTGGTGTGTGCATGGAGGTCTGACGCACACTTTTGGCAGGAGGCTGCCCAACGAATCCTCTGCCTGTATTTTTTTTTTTTACGCACATGCGTCGGGCGCAACAAACCTCTCCTCTGGCCACTCTCCGCCAGACACTGAACCTCGCGATTCTTCTGCCACTTTAGCGCTCTTCGAACCCTCTGCCGTTCCCCAAAAGGAGTGATTCTATCGCCCCGCCAAACAAGTCAACATGGCACCTAAGGAGTGGGGTAAGTCGAACTTGGTTATTTTCCGCATCGCCATCCCCGCGCTTTGGTGTTGAGGGGCAGCCTGGAGCGCCGCCGTGATCCCCTTCACAGTTTTTCGTGTGGGCTCTCGGCTGGCAATGCCACCCGAGATCAGATATCGCCCACATACATCGCCTGCACATAGTCTCCCAGATTTGCATCCAAGTTAACGGGGCCTCTGGATCTGGCTCGATATAGACGATGAATCCTCTGGAGAGTCCAGCTCCGAGGAGTCCGCGGGTGGCCCTGCCGCCGTCCAGGTCCGCCGCAAGTTCGACGACGAGGAGGCCGACGACGACGACGTGCTCGAATCCTGGGACGCCGCCGAGGACTCCGAGGTAGAGCGCGAGAAGGCCAAGAAGGCGGCCGAGGCCAAAGCCAAGGCCGATGCCGAGGCCGCAGCAAGCAAGCTCTCCAAGGCCCAGCGCATAGCCCTGCGCCAGCAGCGCCGCAAGGAGCTCGGCGAGGAGGATGACAGCGAGGAAGAGGAGGACGAGGCCGCTCGCCGCCTGCGCCTGCGCCAGACGGAGAAGGAGAGCGACCTGAAGCACGCCGAGGACCTGCTCGGCGACATCGGCGTGCCCGCAGCCCGCAAGGCCGTCAGCAAGGGTGCTGCCGTCTCCCTCGACGGCAAGGATCCCACCAAGACCATCGACATCAGCACCATCCCCCTCTTCAACCCCACGAATAAGGCCCAATGGGATTTGCTGCGCGAGACGCTCGTCCCGATCCTGGCCGCTAACCCTAAGCGCGCCGGGTACATAACCTTCCTCGAGGAGTTGGTCAAGGGGCTGGCGCAGGACCTGCCCTCGGACCAGGTCAAGAAGATCTCGAGCCGCCTCACGGCCCTCAGCAACGAGAAGATGAAGGCGGAGAAGGAGAAGAAGGGCGTCAAGAAGACCAAGGCCTCAAAGACCAAGACCTCGCTGGTCGCCACCAGGGCCGACGTCCCCGACACGAATACATACGACGAGGGCGGTTTTGGCGAGTGAGTTGCCCTTCTCGAACGGCCTTGCGTATCCTGGGGTTCCCGTGACTGACATGTCTCCTGAAACAGCGACGACTTCATGTGAACGAGACCCCAAGCACTTCTTTTTTTACGCCTTTTTGCGGTGCGAGCAACCCTATCCTTGCCACAGCGCCACAGCGCCTCTTCCACCCCTTGGAAACGACAGCAATGGAAACTCGGGACGCTGTTGGGTTGGGCGAGTTCTCGGAACACCCCTTGACCCGAACGGGCCGGGCCTGTCGTGCGCGCTCGAGTGGGCGTTGCAACCCTCAGAGGGGCGGGAAATCCAAGCATTGTTTGCGAAAAGCGCGTGCCTAATTCGCTGCTAATGCCGACAGCTCGTGCCGGAGAGGAGGAAGTCGACAACAAGAGAGCGGGCGGGGGATCTGGATAGCATAGCGGCTTGTTGCCACTCAAAAATGGCTCCATCGAGGCCCTGGGTTAGGATAGAGGAAGCCGGGCGGGGATCTTTTTTTACGACGCATCAAACCATATACAACATGGTCGGGCGTGTCATGGTGATCATCATTATATGCGGTCGAGGGCGGACCAAGTGGTCACGACCCCAAAGGACCTTCCAAGACTGAGCGAGACCTTTGGCATTGGCAAAAAGAGAAAGCAAGGTGTCGTACGTGTGTCTTGTTTTAGGGGAAGCGAGATCCTGATCTTGTGTTTTTAAAGGCAAAAACAAGCATAGACGACAACTGCTAGAGACAGAGACAGATGGTACATTCAAACTCGCGCAATGGGCATTGTAGACATAGAAAATCTGCATTGGAGTACATGTTGTACCCGAGGCGGGCTTTGCCGCGCTTCGTTCCCTTTCCGCTTGCTCCTTCATACATGTTCGATGCTTCGCGTCAAAAAAAAAAAAAAGCTAAGGGCCAAAAAAAGAACATGATTAGCTAAACAAAGAAAATATGAAATATGAAGAGGGCGGGCCTGGCCTGGCCTTGCCTCCTGGTTTTTGTTTGTTTTGTTCATTGCCTGGAAAGAGGGGAGGGGAAACCACAAGACGACGCCATGCTGTGCTGCCCGAGTCCATTTCATAAACCACCCTCATCCAAAACTTTTCGTCGAACGAGACCTGGTGATGATTTCATCGTCATAAAGTCGGTAATAGGTGAAAAAAATGGAACGAGGGAGCTGCTTCGCGCAAGGTTTCCCCGTGATGGGGTCATATAGACGAGTTAAAAGGAGATTCGTGAGTATGAGCCGTTCGTCGGCGGTTAGGGAGGTGTCGAGTGAGAGTGAGAGGGACGCGAAGAGAGCGAGGGTCATAAAAAAGAGGCGGAAGAAGGGAAATTGGGCAATAAGGAAACAGTTGTCCAACAAGTTTCCTGCGGGGTATAAATTGCGAGGGCATCCGCTCCCTTCTCTAGACTGTCTAGTCGAGAAAAAGGGAGCCAACGTAAGGTGCCGCTCTGATGTTTTGCATGCATATATGGTTGTGTTTGTGTCCCCAGAGAGACAATAGAGATGCGGCACAATGTTCGCCGGCCGATTTAGGCGGACTAGATCAGTCGCTCTTCCAATGGGCCGTCATGCCCGTGTCCGGGTCGTCGCTGCCGAGGTACAGCTCGACCGCGTACATGGACATGGTGGCGCCCACGTTGACCCAGCGCCATATGTTGCCGCCGGCGTCCCCGGACTTGAGCGTCCAGCCCAGGTCGCCGACGCCGTCGCTCGAGACGGAGAAGTGCTGCAGCAACAGGCTCGTGTAGACGGCGATCAGGATCGAGGGAGAGAACCACGAGAGGAAGCCGAACAGCTTGCTGGCCGCGTCGGCGTCCTCAAACGAGGGCTCCTGCATTAGAGCGCGCGCACCCGACTCGCGAACGGCGGGTATTATGCGCGTCGCGCAGTAGAAGACGGTGATGCGGTAGGCGAGCGAGATGATGACGGACGGCGTGATGGTCTGGAAGGCCGCGTACAGGAACGTGAGCGACGAGCTGACGGCCGACGGGAGGTTGCCCAGCATGTGAAGCAGCGTCGAGTACGACGCCATGATGACGGGGGGCAGCGGCGGAAAGTCGGGTTGCGCGGCGCCCGGCTGCGCATCGGCAGCGGCAGCGGCGGCACCGTCAGACGGCATGTAGTCGGTGAAGATCTGGTAGACGCAGAGAACGATGTAGGCGAAGAGGAGCGACGACTCGACCGGGTTCCCACGCCCGCTACCGATGCCGTAGGCACCAAGGAAAAAGGCCGTGGTCATAGTGACCCCGATCAGCGTGGCGTCGCCATTGTTGATCTGGGGGAAGTGCACCACCCTCCACAGGAAGTATACAGCGCTCGCGATAACGGAGGCGGAGAAGACGAGGAGAAGGATCTGAAGAGCAATGTTAGAAACCGAGCACATCAGGAAATGGATAGATATCCAGGGATGAGCGGATGTGACACTTACGATCCACGTATCGCTCCTGCCACGGTTGACGAGCCACCTCGTGATCTGGCCGGCGGCCTGGATGACCAGCAGGCTGCAGAAGCCCTCGAACAGCTGGAAGACGGGGCTCGAGTAGCTTAGGCTCCTGTCCCAGCTGCCCAGGGTGACTGTCTCGAGCACGCCGTGCTGGCCAAAGAACCAGTCGTGCCAGCTCTCAGGCGCGCGCGTGCCGAAGCCGGCGCGGCCGAGGGTGCGCTGGACCCAGTCCGCGCCGGCGGCGGCGGACTGCTTGTCGTCGACCGAGAAGCGGCTCAGGGCCCAGATGAGCAGGGTCGGGATGACGACCCACTGGGCCAGGCGCAGGAGCCCGCTCAGGGCGGCGCGGAAGCGGGAGCCGCGGTCCGGGGTCAGGAGCTTGGCCGACGAGTAGAGCAGGTAGAAGGTGAAGAGGGCGAGCGAGTAGGCGAGCCCGGCGTCGCGGCCGCCGACGTCAAAGGCGATGGGGATAGAGAGGACGATGCTGAGGAGGAAGACGGCGCCAAACAGCACGCGAAAGAGCCACAACATTATGCCGTCCGGGGCGGCGGCCGGGGCCAGGGTCTGGAAGGACGGCTCGCCGGCGTAGGCGTAGGCGTCTTGGCTGCACAGCGGGCAGCACTCGCACCAGTCCCTGCTGCTGCTGAGCGAGTTGTTGGTGTTGGCGTACGCGTTGGCGTTGGCGTAGGTGCTGCTGCCGACGTAGGTGGTGGTGGTGGTGGTGGTGGTGGTGGTGCTGCTGCTGCTGCTGGGAGGCGGCCCGCGCGTTCTCCTCCTGCCCCTCTCGCGCTCCCTCGGGAGCTGCTTGTTGGGCGCTCGCGCGCAACCCAACGCGAGGACGAACGTCCTCGGTCGCTGGGTTCGTCGATGTGCTGATATGGGGGATACTGTGCCCGCGGTCCGAGGCCCTCGAGGCAACGGATGGGCTTGGGGGCGCGGAAACGGGACACGAGAGGCAGACGTGGGGGAGGGCGAGTCGGGGGTCTCTTGTATGCGGGCGGAGAGGTCGGTCGGGGGGGTCGACAGACGGCGGCAAGTGGCGAGTGGCTGGGGTGGTGGTGGTGGTGATTTGCTGGTGCCGAGGTCAGAGGAATGGCGGTGGGCGTGTTCGTTTGGCCCTAAAGCAGCAATGAGGTGTTGTCGCGCGACCGCTTGTTCTGCATCCAGCTGCAGGGGGTGGGGTTTTGGGCAATCGTGCGGTTGGGCGGTCAAGGTCAAGGGTCGGCCTGCAGCGGCGTGCAGGAGAAGCGCACAGAAAATAGCCCACGAGAGGGTTTATTTGCCTTTGGCGCCGTTTATTGCGGGAAGCCCAGACGTGAAGGGCCTGCAACCTCTTTCGCCCGCTCCAATTTTGCCGTCGACGCGCCAATTCCGAGTCTACAAGGTGACAAAACAAGAGGCTGGTGTCGCAGTTTACTGATAGAGAGAAAAAAAAAGCTGCTGGCTGGTAGATTGGCAAGAAGACAAAAATCCTAGTAAACAACCAGAGTTGCTGGCCTCTCCAGCAAATGACGCTCTCCAGTTGCCGCCAAAGGGAGCTCAAGCTTCGCGATTTGCATGTGGGTGGGACCCATTTGACGGGGGTTCCAGTGCTCTCATTGCACAATTTCTGTTTTCTTTTTTTTCTCGTTCACTCCCCTCGTTCCCCCAACCATGGGAACGCCCTCCTCCTCCCCTGCTCCCGCCACTCACAGCAGGGCTCGACGTGGAGACGTGGCTGCGGTGTGTGCTGGCTGGGTGGGTAAAAAAAAGACACCACCCCACACGGAGCAGCTCCCCGGGCCATTTCAACGAACCCGCCATCGCCGTCGTCAGTTCTGCCAACAAGCGGTGGGCAACGAGCGACATGTTTCACAAGTTGCACACAATCAACCCATACTAGCAGCTGCTCGGTGGCTTCCGGAAGACGCACGCACTCTCTCTTCGTCACTTCTTTCTTTCTCTCTTGTGTGGTAATGGTGCCTGGAAGAGCGAGTGGCTCACCTAGGTCGAGCCCATGATTCGTCCATCTCCTTCTCGTCAGGCCTCTGAGATCTGATAGTGTGTCGTCGCCACACCCACAATAGCCCGCGTGTTAATTAATCCTTCTGCGGATCAAGCCGTGCACGAGCAGCATCTCAGCCAGATCGAGCCTGCATAACCCCTGCACACACACCCGGATGCACATGCAGTCACCACCACCACAGTGTCGTCGCACATGTCACATGGCCCGACAGCAAGGCCCGCCAGCCACATCAGCAACCCCTCCAAAACAACGCCCGAGACTCGGGATGGCCCTGTTCATCAGGAGTTCAGGATCTTAGAGTCTGCTAGCAGCACCGGTCGCCAGAGCCTTGCGCCCGCCGCCTTGGGCACCAAGAGGACCATGACCGAGGCAGTTAGGTACATGTACATACGTCCAATGCTGCGCGTGACTCCCCACCATGCAGGTGTTTTATGCATGGCCCCACCCGTGAATATCATCATCACCCCCTTCCCCTCAAGATGTGCAGACACAGACATGTGAAAGCCAGGACAGGGATGGGGAAAGACAGAAGAGAAGAAGCACAAGACAAACAAACAACAAGAATATGAATAACCGTCATGACAAAGATATATGGCCGCCTCTCTTTTGGTTCGACGCCGTGCACTATATGCTACTGCTCCGTTGCTGCAAGCAAGCCCGCCCAAAGGAGTCCAGAGAAAATAAGTGATAATGAATGACCCACACCTGCCCAACCAATCTCTCGTCCCTAGTCCATGGTCGCGTTTAGTCTCTTTATCGTCCTCCTGCTCCTCGTTATCGCGTGCCGGCTCCTGGCCTGATGTCCGAGGTGCTAGCCGTCATCCTATTTCGTCGCTTGTACTGCTGCGCCGACACCCTCTCGGCCCTCTCCAGCAGCCGGTCCGACCTCTCGCCCCTTTCCCTAGCGTCTCTATCGCGGTCCCGCTCTCCCCGCTCTCCCCGCTCCCTCTCGTAGCCGCTCGTTGCGATCATGTGTTGCGCATATCTGCTGCCCCCGCCACCCCCTTGCGCGTTCTCCTTGTTCGAGGACGAGCTTTCCGACCGATCTGGTCGGTTTACGATAGTTGGCGTGGATCCCCCTGCGCCTCCCGCCAGGCTCGCGCGCCCGTATAGACTCGACGTCCGCGGTAGCCTGCTGTTAACCCCTCCCGGACCGTTGCTGTTCTTACCACTCAAGAGAGAGCTGCCGTCGCCACTGACTCGTCTCGGTATGGAGGACGATGCCGATGACACCGACGACGTAGTTGATCCTGCCCCGTCGCGGCTCCTCGGTCGAAAGACGCTTCCATCCCGCTCTGCCACAAGCGCGGCTTGCCGCTTTGGAGTCGCCGCCACCTCGATGTAGGCGGCTGTCGAGTGTGAATGGCGGTGGTGCGTGGGTGTCATCGGTGGCGCCGAAGCCGATGGTTGGAGCGTGGGTGGCACATAGGACGAGCTCGTGCGCCGTGGACCGGACCGCGAGCGAGACGACGTGCCCACCACCGAGGCGCCGTTGCTGCTCGACGATGAACCGCCTCCAATGGCCGAAACCGAGCCGCTCAGACCCAATGCGTTGCTGGCGCCATCCAGGTCCAGGCGAGACCGCAGCAGCTCCGAGGCCAGGTTGCGCACCAGCACCGCCGGGTCTTTCTCGGCGAGGAGCTGGATCTGCTCAAAGAGGCCGCGCAGCTGCCGTCCGCTGCTGGCAGTAGCCATGCTGCTGCCATTATCCGACTCGCAGGCGTCCATGATGTTGCGCACAAGTCGCAGGAGGTTCAAACGCACCTGCGCCTTCTTGTGACACAGCTTCTGCCCAAGGCCAGAGTACATCTCCGACTTTGCCAGCGACGCCGCCAGCGCCGGGGATAGACGAAGCACCTTGATCAGCGGCTCCAGAACTCCCGGGTCAAACGAGTTTGCCTTGGACGTATTGAAGCACGACGTGATGGCCTTGGTGAACTTGCCCTCCAGAAGGTGGTTCTCCACCTTGGCCGTCTCCTCCTGCAGCCACACCGAGATCGAGTCCAGGGCGCTGACCTGCCAGTACTGATCTGCAATGAGCGAAACATAAAAGTCCAGTCCCTTGTTCTGCCACAGGTAGCGGCGCCCCTTACTGCCAGAGTGGGCCATGTCGCAGAGAATTGGAAGCGCGAACTCCTTGGGTGGCCGATCCGTCTGCATGATCTTGAGCAGCAGAGGAATGATGCCGTTGACGGCAGCGTACTCTTGCCTCTCCTTGCTGAGCCTACACAGGTTGAACATGGTGTTGAGCACCTGATTGGATATTTCGCGAAAGTGCTTGTGGCCCTTTTTCATGCTGTAGCCCAGCAGATCTATCAGAAAGTCGATAGCATCGGCCGAGTGAAGCGACTCCAACGTCCGCGACAGCATGGATAGGTTCTTGATAAACTTGAGCATGGTGATCTGGTGGAGTGGCGACATCCGGCGGAGGTCCTTGAGAACAGCTAGGGGCAGGGGTTGTTGGTCAGCGCGCGCTCCTTGATCGTTGGGAACGGCATATTTGCTGGCTCATTGACTCACTCTTTAGAACTTGTCTCTCCGCCACAACTTCCTTGACGTAGTTCTCTGCCTGCGAGAACAAGTAGAAGATGTTCACGATCCGGCCCTCGATGAGCTCCGTCAGCTCGTCCTTGTCGTCCTCGTCCAGGACTTTGTGGAGGACAAGAGCGAGCGGGTCCAGGATCTTGCTGCGCGAGAATATCCTGCAAAAGTCGTTCTTGGGCGTCGGCCCCTGAAGCTCAAAGACGTTCCAAATACCGTTCACGCCTATCAGCACCAGGTCCCGCGAGGCGTCATAGTCCTCGTCCAGGAACTCAACCAGCACGTTCAGGCCACCGGCGCTGACAAACATTTGCAGCGTCAGGGTTGAGGTCTGGTACATTTGCCTGACGAACGCAGCAGCCTCGAGCCGAATCTCATTCGAATATTGCCTGGCCGCAAACTTTGTGATGATGGGAATTCCTCCCACGAAACACAGATTTTCTTGCAACTCGACATCGTTGAGGATGATCTGCCGTGCAACAAATGTCAGTCGAGCCGACATGATATCGAGTGCTCTGGCCGTTTACATACCGCATTGACTATTTTGAGAAGTTGCAGAATCATATGCTGACGGCTCTTGACCGTGCAGGGCTCGAGGATTTCGAGGATAGGCAGCAAGCCATGGGCGCTGATTATGAGATCTTTGACCTCGCTGTTCTCCCATAAAAGACTCAGCTAGGAGGGGTGGCGTAAGTGAGGTGAGCGTTAGTAATGTTAACCCAGGGTGTTCAGACATCCCGGTCGAGCAATGGCACCGTACCAGATCTTCAGACACAACAAGAAGCGTGTCCTCTCCCTCTGTCGTCTTTAGCGAGCGGACCAGCTCCTCCACCTTGTGGGACAGCCTCGCGTGGCGGTCTCTTGCGATATTGGCCTCGAGATCCATCTCGTCCCATCCGGGCTCCAACAGGGCGAAGGGGTCATCCTCGTCCTCGTCGTCACCCAACCACGAGTTGTTGGATAGCTTCGAGAGGAACATGCGACCGCCATCTTCAGACCCCACCTCGCTCTCCTCCCTCTCCGCAACCCCGTCTGTCGGGCCGAATATGTCAGAAAAGTCCTCGTCACTTTCGTTTTCGGCGAATCGTTGTATTTCAATGGTCGACCGGGTCCTCCGCATATTCTGGTCCTGCAGGACCGACGGCCTTGACTGAGCCGCACGCCTCATGCTTCCGCCGGTGGGAGGTTGCGAGGAGCGTGGCATGCTGGTCAGGTCCGACGGATGAAACAGCTGCGGCGAGTCCTACCAGGGAAGTCAGTACAAACATGGACACTTTTATAGAACCTGGCACGGCTCTGTTGCTATTGGAAGCATCTGATTTGAAACACAGGGGCCGGGACACCTGCCTTTGGCACGAGGCTTAGCCTGTTGTCAAATACGTGATCGCCCTCGTCAAACAAGTCCGAGTAGTCCTCAACTGACTGCTCTCGGTATATCAAATCGGGCCTTGGTGGGAGCTCGAATTTTGATCCGAAATTCAGCTTGGTTGGCGATTTTGCTTGCGAGGACGACGCTCTACTAGACCGTCTCTTCCCCGGCTTTTGCGTCTTTGCCTCCGTCTCGGCTTTCTTTTCCGATTTCTCCATCGGGCTGGGCTTCCGCGGCGTGGGTCGGAGGGTTTGCTGCGTATCTGATTCGGCCAGGTGTGAGCGGAGATTTTTGATGGTGACCAACTCGCCGTCGAAAACGTCGTCCCAGTTTGCCGACACATTCCTACTGTCGTCGATCGAGGCAAACGCCTTGAGCCGATCCGAAGATAGCAAGCCACCAAAATTGTCCTGGGGTTTTAGATGTGGAAGCTGCAAAGCGCCGGGGGAGATAGCAGTTGCAAAATCGTTGTCCCAGTTGTCATCATCGGGAATTTCTGGGGATCGGAATGCATCCGCAACCGCTGGTCGTGGTTTTGGCAGGATAGTCAGGGGCCCCCTGGCTGCCGCAACCAGATTCGCTCGTCCACCAAATGGTTGTGTTGGCGGTACACCGTCAGAGCCGATAGAAACCCTCAGGTTGTTCTCTGATGATCTGAGCGCCTTGTTCCACTGCTTGACCTCCTCAACCGCCTCGTTGAAGTTGGACGGCGCCTTGGACACAGGAGCATCACTTCTCCTGGATCCCATGATCCACGGGTGTTTGAGAAGCTTTCTTGCCGACACCCTGAGATTGGGGTCTTTTTGAAAGCACTGCATCAGGAAGTCACGGGCGGCCTATTGTTGGAAGCTTGTGTTATCATGATGCAACCCAGCCAGAGGGGATGAGATAAAGGACAAGGGTTCACCCACTGGAGATACGCCCTCGGGCAATGGTGGGTGGTCATCATTGACAATGGCGAACAGGGCCGGCATGGGCGCGAGGCTGTGGTATGGTGGTTTCCCCTGCAGGAGCTCGATTACGGTGCACCCCACGCTCCAGATATCGGACGCAGAGGTGGCACCAGACAGTTGGATAATCTCAGGGGCCATCCAGTACGGCGTGCCGACAACTTGAGCTTCCTTGTCCGCGCCGGCGAGAGTGCTAGTGGACACGCCAAAGTCGGCCAGCTTGACGGTACCGTCCTTGGTCGTAAGAATATTGGCACCCTTGATGTCGCGGTGGATAACACCCTGGTCGTGCAGGTATTGCAGCCCTTGAAGCACCTGGGTCATGTACACGCCCACCAGGTTCTCGGGGAACTTGCCGTAGGCCTTGCAGATAGAGTGAAGAGACCCATTCTCGCAATACCTAGGGGTTCATGAGATTGTGGCCAGAGATGATAAAGCGGAGCGGTGCAACTGTTACTTTGGTCACTTACTCGAGAATGATATTGAGGCAGTCCACGGTTTTCACAAACCCAATATACTTGACAATGTTGTCATGCTGAAAAGCCCAAGTCAGCAAGGTGCACTCACGAAGCGACCGATTCAATGGATAGGCCAAGCCTCGTCGCCATTGAACAGACCGTGCCTCCCCTCGAGGCGCGGAGCGATGCGAACTTACGTGTAGGTTCTTCAGAAGGTCGATTTCAGCCTGAAACAAGAAAACGTAGGAGACTCTACTGTCAGCGGAGCCTGCATGCAGGGACGGCAGTACAATCACGGTGCAGCACGGCACATATCCGGGGCCGCCTGCCGGGTGTCGCCAAGAGGTTGGGGCAGGGCGGAACGGAGAGGTGGTTGCATCGTACCTCGATCATGCGCAGCTCGCTCTTTGGCACGTCCACGAGCTTGATTTGCTTGACCGCCACTGCCTCGCCGGTGCCCCAATTGAACGCCTTGTATACGGATCCGAAGGCGCCCTTGCCGATGCAGTCTCCGAGCCGCTATAGTCCCACACCGCCTTGGCTGGTCAGTAATGTGTCGCAACTAAGAAGGCAAAAACGTGGCGCGAGGTGCCCGCATGAGAGCAGCAGGATATAAGCTGGGAGAGGGAGGGCCCAGGTGCGGGCAGAGAGGTAGGAGGGGAAGCGACGCACGTAGTCCTTCAGGCTAGGATCTTGTAGCGCTCGTTCCCGCGCATTGCTACTGCTGCGGGCTTCCTTGCGTGGTGTCCCTGGTGTCCTGCTAGCCTTGCTGCCATTGCTCCCGTTCTGCTGGTGGTGGTACACCCTCTCGGCGGAGCCGCTGCCTGGCGCCATGTCTGCCGTTGCCACGTCGCTGCCCCGGACCGGGTCAGCCCAGTCGAGGCAGCCTCCTCAGCCCCGGCGGCGATCGATCGTGTTGCCCGCAGGGGCGGGGGGTCGTCGATAGATTGGAGGCGGTCAGCGGTCCACGGAGGAGCGAGCGGTCGTCGAGGGGAGCGATCGGTGTGGAAATATATGGGCGGCGGCGGCGGTGGTGGTGGCGGCGGCGACGGAGGAGGAGGAGGAGGCAGGCGAGGAAGGGGCGGAGAAGGGAGAAAAGGGCGAGGCGGCTCGGTGCCTGCTCATTCCCCGAGCACAAGGGCAGGCAGCGATGCAGTCTGGACGTGTCCTCCAGATCTGCACATGCGGGCCCGGTCGTCGAGTGGTTATACGCTCGCACAGGCTTCGGCGCAGGTGGTTCGGTGGATGTCGTCAAGACTGGAGATTATTGCTTAAAGTGGGGTCTCCCCGGGAGCTGCATTTTTCTGCCTCGACGTCCGAGTGTGTTTTGTTCCCTTGTTCCCTAACCAAACACCGCCCACGGTCGACCAAGTCGACAGAGGATGAGGAGAAAGCAGAATAAAAGAAAGAGAGAGGAGAACCGGGAGGCAAGGCACCGCACGAGCAAAGAGGAAGGGATGAGAGAACCTAGGGAGGGGAAGAAAAAAAAAGTCGCCGGTTTGGGGCGGCGGGTATGCCTGTTCGAATGCGGTGTTCGGACCAGGCACCAGGCACCGCTGGCTTCTAGACTTGTCCCCTTGTGTTTGGCAGCGAACAGGTTCGAGGGCGCGGGAGCAGCCAAGGAAGCACGGAGGCAGGATGGAAGCTGAGCCTGGGGTTCTTGGGCCTGTCAAGCTATCGGCCGGGTTGGCTATAGCATCCACTGGGCGCGCTGCACCAATACCTAATCAGAAGCTCAGAATCAGGCAAGCATCCATAGCAAAAGCACGTCCCCAGGCCGTGCCGCTCACCTAGCGGGATGGGCACGCGATCTGGTTGGGTACCGCGCAGGACCAAAAACTCGAAACAAACAACAACGGGCGGTGAATACCCGTCCAAATTTCAATGCCTGCCTAAACCGACGCCTGGACGTCGAAAAGGGCACGCCGTTGCGGCCATCCGCCGCCGATGCGACCCTGGCCTGCCCTGCCCTATCTGCTAGGGTCTTGTCTAAGGTTGGGTAGCCTAGGAGCTACCTAGGTAGACTAGGGACGTCGCACAGGCAGGCAGCATGGATTGCCTCCTCGGCCCTGAAATGTGCAACAAGGGAAGAAAAGATTTATTCTTGGAAATAGGAGTCGTCATACGGGATGGACCGCCCCTGCAAAGAACCTGCCTAACCGAATCGAAACAAAGGCACATTCGGCACACATCGACGGGAGGCGCGGCGGGCCTGGAACTGGGTGCTCAAGTCGTGCCTCCTTCCCGCCCGAGGTGTTCTGTCCTGTCGCATCTCACTCCGCCCTAATGCAACTCAGTTTCCAGTCTGTGCCGTTGTAACCCTGACTCCTTGGCGGTAAGGCTGGCGCACCACCATTGAGATCGTTGAGCCCTACACCCCTGGTCTGCCCGATTGTTGTTTTGTTCCCTTCTGGATCAACTGCTAGATTGACGCAAGCCTCCTGCAACGAGCGTAAGGGACCGTCACGTTTGGACACGGTTAAGAGACATGTCGCACGTCATCCGTGGCGGAAATATACAGCCGGTGCTTCAAGCGAGATCTGTCATTCTGAGCTACAACGGGAAACCTTGGATATAACCCAGCAAGATCGGTAGATAAAGACATACTATATAAGTACAGTCCAGATACGAGTCTCATTTGATTGTGTGTGTACGTTATTCATCTCGTTCCTTTCCAAAGGCCTGGAGACACCCCAAATCACAAGAACTAATACAGAACATTTATCATCCGCTCAGGCCATCTCGAACGTGCCAATGTATAAATTATCATCTCCCTGCCACAAGCCCATAAATAATCCCAGTGTCCCACGACCGAAGCTGCGCAAGCCTGCGGCGTTTGTTTTCCGTTACCCCCCAATACTCCAGAGCGCCCAAGAATTATCAACGATATAGTGGAATATCAAAGCACATGACCAGAAAAAAACGCAAGCGAAGAAGAACCAAACAGTCCTCGATAGGGCTCTCCCGTGTTTTAATGCCCGGCGGGCGGGCATGCGAGTAGTGAGATCGCGAAGTTAGGCGCAGAACGGCCTTGGACACATGTTCCTTGGCTGTCTGGTGGGTTCCGTGATCTAGTTGGACGCCCGTGAAAGAGTACGACTGAGGCCGACCTCAGCCCACCACTCATCGGGAATGTCCTCGCGCCGGGCAAAGTGGCGCACTATGCGCTGCATATCACCCAGGAACTCCAGCGGATCCTCTCCGCCGCTGCTGTTGGAGCCCGTGCGACCGGCAACCTCGGCGTAAGATCGATGACCCGAGGCTCTGCCACTCCCTGGGAAGCGCGCGAGCGCAAGGCGGACGGCATCCTCGTCATCCTCATCCTCATCACCCTCTGTATCGGAGTTCTCGCAGCCGGACTCGCAGTAGGGGTCCGACACGTCTTCGTTGGTAAAAGTGTCTCGTCCGGTCATGGACGTGTTTGCCGAGGAACCGGTGGCGACGCCCTGTGATGTAGCAGCCGAGAGCGATGCCGATGTGGATGCAAAGGATGACCCCACGCTTGGCTGGGGGTCTGGTGTGAGAGTTGTGAGCAGCGTGTCCCAACCGTCCTCCGCCGGGCTCATGCTAAGGCTACGGTTGCGGTCACCGAGCCCGTCTAGCCGAGCCGACTGTATTGGCGCAGTTGTCATCGCCGCCCCAGGGACGTAGCGATCCGGCGAAGGGGATAGATGCGTCCGCTCCTGGACCGGATTCGGCCTGTCTAGGCTACCTAGATCCGGAGGCGGCGGCGGCGGCGAAGGAGGCGAGTTGGATGAGCGGCCGACATTTGAGCTGTAAAGTGAGCGCGGCGATATGCGACTTGTGATGAGAACTCGTGCCCTGTTGCGTGGAGCGCGCGAACCCCGTGCCTAGCAGCGCAAATAATTAGCATGGCAAACGATAGGCAGATGACGACGGTCTAGTAGCTCACATCTGCGCGACGAGGGGCTTGGGCGCTTCGCTCAACCCTTTCACGCTCCTCGCGCCCGGATACAGTACGCATATTTGACGACACACCGCGATCTGCCAGGGACACGTCGTGGCCGGCGCGTGTGTAGAGGTTGGCCCAGCGCTCGCCAATGACAGCGACGGAACGCTCGTCGAGCCCGCCTGACCGTCGTGCGACTGCGTCATGGGGCAAGGCGGGGCGCAGAGATCGCGCGCCGGCCCGATTGCTCGGCACCGACGGGGTGGCTTCCCGAAGAGGGTTGAGCAGTCCAAGATCCCACGGGGGCACCCGGGCCATCTCGTCGGCGGCCGAGATGCTCTCACGCGTCAGTCTGCCGATCTCCTGTGCCAGGACACGTTGCCGTGCCTCGGCCCACTCGCCGCCTTCATACCTGCCACGGTAGGCGCGACGGATGGCCGACCTAGAGTGGACGGGGCTTTTCGGCGGGGGCCGCGACCGAACATCGGATTCGACGGGGGCATTGTACAGCCTGCAGAGCGTTGACAATGGCGTCTTGTTAGATGACTTGATGACGTTGGAGATGCGGCGCGTTGGAAAACGATTGCTGCCCGCGCGAGTGCGAATTGCAGAAAGCCACCAGTGGCGGCAGTCCGTAACGCCATCGCGCAGGGGGGGCAATTCTGACCGTCTCGTCACTTCTCACGTTTCGTGCACATGACGCCAGCGCGATGCGATTTGGAAGGAGTTGGGAGATGCCAGCGGTGCGCCGCGCGCGCGATGAGTGGTCGGATGCGTGGCGCAAGGTGTTTTTTGAGGTCGACTTACGGGAGACCCATATTTGCAGGCGTTCGGAGGCGTGGCTTTGGGGCGTCGGGACTGAGGATAGAGAGCAAGGCTTTGACGGGGCAAAAAAACGACGGCAAGAAAGAAGATGGAAGATAAATGGTAGAAGGGCAAAGCCCAAGATGGAAGTGGCCGATGGGCGGTGGGCGATAGTTGCCGAACGATAGTCCTTCGGGTCGCGGCGTGGTCCGGGCTGGCGCGTTCCCCACGAGAGATTGGAAGCTTAGGGAAAACAGGGAATGAGAGCAGAGATGTCGGTCGGCTGGGCGGGAAGTGGGTGGTTGACGGATCAATTTGGGCTTCGTTTTTGAGTGGCGGCAGCCGGGCGGGGCCATGCTTTCGTGCAGCATGCTCCAAACACGGACCCTTATGCTTGGTACCGGTGTGCACGGGCCATTTGAACAAGGTACCCCATTGTTCACCCTTGGTTTGGTGCGAGTCGAGGTACCACCTTCACGGCGGGTGGATCAGCCTTCCCATGTTTGCGGCAACCGTTCAGGAACCTCCCCAGTCACGAAAACGAGAGGCTGTCGCTGCTGTTTGACGCTTGGTGGGCCGCCACGGTCAACAACTCTCATCGCAGCAAGCCGAATCAATGCTGTGAGTCACTGGCAGCACGGCGGGCTCGCTCACCTTTGCGGTATCAATATCCTTCTTCGCCTCTTGTTTTTTTTTCCTGCCTGCGTCGCCTGGTGAACCGTCACAACAACCCTGCAACGACAGAGATCAACCCTGCCGAGTGCATCTTCTCATTCCGAACAGAATGGACACACCACCTCCCAACCATCTCATCGTTGTTTGCGGCCACGCCATCTGGCTGGGCGGGCCGCAACAGGGACAGGATGAGTCTGAGTGGTTGATCGAGAGCTACAAACGGGGCGAGACCCCAACCTTCATCGAGCACATCAAGGCTGGCCTCCGTGCACTCGGTGACGATGACCGCTCCGCCTTGGCGTTTTCCGGGTGAGGCTCCGACTACCGCCCCCAAAGTCACTCGACGTTCTTCCTTACCCTGACCAGCGGTACATGCCAGTGGCCCGACATGGAAGGAGACTGCTCTCTCTGAGGCGCGCAGCTACGCAAATCTCGCTGCTACGAATGGATACTTTGGCTTGATATCTGCCGACATTCCGTCAACAGACGGCACTCGGCAGCATCCGCTATCGCCCATCCCGCTCTCTCCCCGCATTATCCTTGAAGAGCAGGCACTGGACTCATATTATAATGTCCTCTTCTCCGTCGTAGCCTTCTGGAGGCGGTATGCGACGTGGCCTGTGAAGCTCACTGTCGTTAGCCACGCTTTCAAGCGGATGCGAATTGTGGATGCCCATTGTGCGGCCATTGGCTTTCCCATCGACCGCGTCAACTTTATTGGTATTAACCCACCAAATCTGCCTCCTTGGCTCCAAGCAATGGAGCAACTGGATGGGCCAGCTGTCCCCTCGACTAGACATGAAGAGTCTGTGTCGGAGGAGAAGGACGAGGTGATGGCGAGAGGGATTAGAGAAGTTATCGGTCAATGGACTGATGATCCCCATGGGGCTGGGGAGGCTCTCGCTAGGAAGCGGCAGGCTCGGAACCCTTGGGGAATAAGCCAGCGACTTTTCCATGACGACGAGGAAAAGCTCAAGAGCGGCATTGAAACCGTCATCCTCGTTGATGGTACTGAGTCTTTGACTATTGCTCCCCCATCTGGTGCCGCCTGGAGGAGATAGCGACCAGAGATGGGGCTGGCCGGGCCCTCATTAAAATAGCATATGCCAGCCTCAGCCAATTTCGATGCGAGAGACCTTTCAAATCCTAGACACATTCACACCACCCGCTTTGCTAATGCTGCTTCCTGCCTCCGCCGCGGCCGCGTGCACAATAAACTTGACAGCGTCCAGCACCATATCATCTGCGAATTCGTGGCCCGCCTCTGGGTACTCACGACTGTCGAAGCTCACGTCTAGTTCAGGGGCCCATTGGTCGCACGCCTTCCTAAAGAAGTTAAGGAATGGTTCCGAGCAGCGGTACGGCACTAGCCTGTCGGCGCCTCCATAGCAGTTAAGGATCTTCTTGCCTCGCAATCGAGATGCAAGAAACTGCCTGGCTTGGCTTTCCCCGTCAGGGGGCAGCGGCCACGTAGGCTCCTGGGTTCCGAAGATCAAGCCCTTTGGGTCAAACTTCCTGCAAGCCCGGACGAGATCCGGAGGGAAGTCCTTGCTGCCCAGGAAGCTCGCTCCGTTATCAGCAGCGCTGGCTGTGGCTAGCTTGAGTTTCTTGGCGCGGTCGGACATCAGGTCTGGGCATTGTAGCAGCTGTCATTTAGCAACCAGTACCACTGGCTTTGCTGTCTTTACCACCCAAACACGGGCCCGGATCGTTTGAGGCGGCGCTGACTTACACATGTAATCGGGGCAGCCAATGATGGACACGCCAACCCTGACCCGCTCATCCGCGAACAGGAGTTGCCAAGTGCCGTGACCGCCCAGTGAGACGCCGAGTACGTAGTGAGAGTCGATAAAGGCATCTGGCTTCTCGGGGAAGAGACTTCCCTGCAAAAGATCGATCAACAGGCCGACATCCACCACAGAGCCGGCGACCAAAGCCTTCCGAACCGCGATGATGTCACGGTCAGCTATTATGGCAAATGTAGATAACAGGTCTTATCCGATAAGCTCTCGTCACTTACAAACATGTCCTGCGCGTGAGCGGCGTTCCCTTGCGCCCAGCTCTCGTTGGCCAGCGGGCTGACCTGGCGAGCCGAGTGGTTGCGCTGGTCGAGGGCGATGGCGAGCAGACCGCGCTCAGCCGACCGCGGGTGGTCCCGGAATGCGGCGACCGAGCGGGCGGCGACGTCGGCCATGTCGGCCGTGGTGCAGAGGCGGCCGTGGAGCAGCCAGAGTATGGTCACGCGCGAGGCGGTGGACGACAGCTCGTCGAGCCCGTAGACTGTTAGGGTATGGCCCGCGACATGGCGTGTCGCTGCGGCGATGGGCGGCGCGGGTGGCAAAGAAGACTTCATCGTGTTTGGCGTGGCTGCTGTCTCGTCTGTTTGCTAAGGAGTGCCTCAGAACCACACGAGTGCTCTTTGAGTTGGGAACGTCTAGGGCCAGGTATGGTAGTTAGGATATATAGTCCCCTGTCAGCGATGCCCACCATGTCATTCGACTTGCGCCCTATGTCATTTGTTTGCGGAGGCTGACGTGAGGGGCGGGTGAGGTGGGGTTTCGTTTGTATGAGCTTCGCATCCATGGTGTTGGGCGTTGAGGTCGGAGTCAGGTCCGACCTCACCCCACAAGCAGCCACGGGAAGCCGCCGCCGTCTGGTATATACCCCGGAGCTTGGCATTAAGAGCCGTGCTTTTTTTTTCCAAGATTGCATGGCCTTGTCGTGGGAATCAGAGAGCACTTTCATTGCAAGACAACTTCGATCCACTATTTCCCGTAAAGGAGCTTAGCCATCATGGTAAAATAAAGCCATTGAATATAAAATCTGTCTTCGATTTTGACATTGACATGACATGTGAAAAGGGATCGAGGTCGCAGCGAAACCCCACCCCCGGTTTTTTCTTCTCCGGTATCGCGCTAAGCAGCTGTTTGACAACCACTAGACAGCGCCGTGATGAAGCTACCTATGACAAGGTGATAATTGCGCCGCCGGTATACATTGCGCGTTTAGCAGCAGGAGGTGCCGGGATGTCCAAAGCCATGGCGGCCGAGTCTCGGTCACAGTCGCGGCCGGTCGAAACACCGGGCGCGGGCCAGAACTACAAGGGCTTCGTCGCCGGGGTGTTTAGCGGCATCGCAAAGCTTTCGGGTGTGTTTTGAGAGGCAAAGATACCATAGCTCAAACCCCATCCCATGCCCTGAGAACTCATCCGTTGTCAGAAACGCACACGAGCTAACCGGAACTACAACCCAGTCGGCCACCCGTTCGACACGATCAAGGTCCGCCTGCAGACCACGGACGCGTCGCGCTTCACCGGCCCGCTACAGTGCCTCCTGCAGACGGTCCGGAACGAGGGCTTCGCGGGGCTCTACAAGGGCGCCACGCCGCCGCTGGTCGGCTGGATGTTCATGGACAGCGTCATGCTGGGCAGCCTGACCGTCTACAGGCGCCTGCTCCGCGAGCACCTCTTCGACCCGCCGCTGCACCCGCCGCACGACGTGGTGGCCCACGGCGGCAGAGGCGCGCCCGACACCCTCCCGGCGCACGGCCACGGCGTGGCCGGCATCCTGGCCGGCGCGACCGTCAGCTTCATCGCGGCGCCCGTCGAGCACGTCAAGGCGCGCCTACAGATCCAGTACGCGGCGCGCAAGGCGGACCGCCTGTACGCGGGCCCCCTGGACTGCGTGGCCAAGATACACCGGCACCACGGTGTGCGGGGGCTCTACCACGGCCTGGGCGCCACCCTCCTCTTCCGGGGCTTCTTCTTCTTCTGGTGGGGCAGCTACGACGTCCTGTCGCGCTGGATGACGAGGAGCACCGACTGGGGCGCGCCCGCCGTCAACTTCTGGGCCGGCGGGCTGAGCGCCCAGGTGTTCTGGCTCACGAGCTACCCGAGCGACGTCGTCAAGCAGCGCATAATGACGGACCCGCTCGGCGGAGGGCTCGGCGACGGCACGCCGCGCTTCCGCAGGTGGAGGGACGCCGCCCAGGCGGTGTATCGGGAACGCGGGCTCAGGGGATACTGGAGGGGCTTCTTGCCGTGCTTCCTCCGTGCATTCCCCGCAAATGCTATGGCTCTCGTGGCTTTTGAGGGAGTAATGAGAGCACTGCCATAGGGATAGCATGGCGCCTAGAGTGTGTAAGGCAACACAACATTGCCTGAAACACAAGCTCGGCATGCTCCAAAACAGATGGCCTCTCGAGGCGCCAAGCATGGTGAAATTACAATACCACAACAGCACAAGGTCGCAAGAACCCCGAGCGCCTAGATATCACGGCATCGACAGGCAGAGAACAGCATGTACTTGCAACCGCAAGCCGATGGCTCCCGTTTTTGGTATTTTTGTGGACGACAAAGGTCCCCTGCCGCTATCAAGCTAGCAATCCATCCCTTGCCTGTTCCGTTCCCAAACCCAATAGAGAAACCCCAAGAACTCCAGTGATATGCGTAGAGATTCGTTTACTCGTCATCCTCCTCGTCGGCATCGTTGACGACGTTGAAGAACTTGAGCTCGTAGACGCCCTTAGAGGTCGAGACGACACGAAGCCAGTCGCGGAGCTGCTGCTTCTTGAGGAACTTCTTGGTGCTGCGAAGCCGGATCGGCAGGCGTCAGCTTTCTGCAGGTCAGTGGTCGGGGGGAGTCGCGCGGCTGCTTACAGGTACTTCAGGTAGCGGCCGGAGAGGTCGTTGTGGGCAACGATCTCAATCTTGCCGTCGGGGATCTGGGAGATGACAATGGTCTCGCCCAGCTGGCCGACGCGGCCCTCGACCTTGATCTTCTCGTTCAGGAACTTCTCAAAGGCCGAGATGTCGAAGATCTTGTCGTTAACGGGCTGCGAGGCGTTGATGACGAACTTCTTGGTCGTCTTGCCAGCCTTGCCGGCCTTGCCAGCCTTCTTCTAGATTCGGGGGAACACAATCAATCTCAGCCTACTGCTTCACGCCATCGTCTCGGGGAGACCAGGGAGCGCACGAGGCGCCACCCCGACGAGACTGGGCCAACAGCAAAGCCAGTGTAGATCATGGACGTACGGTCTGAGGGGGAGCCATTTCTTCTGGTTTTTTTGAGTACGGAACGCAAAGAGGTAGAATCCTGCGTCTCTTTTTTTTTCTGGTCGCGATGAAGTACAGGGTCAAAAACGAACAAAAAAAAACCTCCAGCCTTTCCAATGGCGGGGAATTTTACTGTGGGAGTGGAGCGATCCAAGGCGCTTGGTTAGGGCAAAGAATTCAATTGTGGCGGCGACTTAAATGTGGCTGACCAGGACCCAATGTGTGGCTTGTGTTTCCCGAGATGCTCCGCAAGCACGCTCCGGGCCGCAATTCGGGAGCCAATCGGCTTATGGCCGGCCACGAGGATCGAGAGTCTCTATGCTATTTGCTTGAGGAGATATCTATAGGTAAGTACCTGCCGATTCACTGCCTGTGAGCTGGAGCTATGTGTTCCACCAGTATAAGTCGGCACAGGCACTTGTGAAGCTTCAGAGGACCAACAACAGACTTCCCGGGGAAACGAAGATAGCAGCAGAGACTACCATTGCTGCCAATACTGTCCGTTTGGCTTCATGGGCTTTTCGCTAGATCTCAAAGAATGAATGGTGCAAGGCCAGCTGAGATCTGTTGTTGAGCAACTAGCAAATCGAATGAGATCCTTGGCTCATACGATTTTGTGCTCAAGAAATTCGTTGCTAAAGTGCTTCGGCGCGCTCCAGATTGCTCATGCAGGGATCCTCGGGGGTGGACGCGCGTCCACCCAGAAGTAGGGTCTTGGTATTCCCCATTATGAGCTCATGAATCGTGTGCGAGTGCCAAAACAACCCAAAAAAATCAAGGAGTGCTCAACCAGCCCCGAGATGAAATAGAAGCTTTTTGTCTTGCCACCCCCGTCATTAGTAGTTCTCCTGAAAATCATCAAGAGCCGGCTGTTGCGGCTGAAGGACGGACGGCAAGACGGCTATCAGTGCACGTTGGCAGACTGGGAGCCTCGGCAGCACCCGTGGTGGTGCTGTATCCTGGAGCCTTGTCTGCCTGACAACCTGATTGGCTCATTCGAATTGACAGGAAACAAAGTCACGGAGTGTGAGCTAGTCTAGGACGTGGGAGCCTCCCAAAATAGACGCCACGAAGTTTTCCCTGTTCGGGTTGATACAATGGCAAGGCACCTTTGAGTTGGCGAGATGCGCGGACGTAATTTGCGACAATCCATCGCGGTTACAACCGCAACGACTCTTTCATGCCACTCGCAAGATGAAAAGCAGACGCCCGGTGGTAGCCCTCAACGGGGCTAAATGCACACGCAAATGCGACCGCGACCGAGCCACAACTGTTACGTGCTGCTGCTTCGTCGTCTATCTGCGCCACTCGGGTCCCCGCGGCCTAGGCACAAGAATGACGGGTGCTTCTCACATGGGGGTTTTTCCTGGTGTCATCAGCCACGTCCACCGATGTCATGGAATTCGTCAAGGCCTGGAGGTGTCTGGGCCTACTAGGCGAGGGCGTGTGGGGCGCAAGCAGGGAAGCAGCGAGCTGATGGGCCGTGACGTAGGCGAGGCGCCCCTGCCAACCCATGTTGCTTGGGCTTTTTTTCTTCTGTGCCGAATATCCACCACGCGGGTATGTCGGGTCGGGAAGGCGTGCGTGTGAGACGGGACTCCGAGGAGCTCCGCCTTGACAGGAGCCTGGGGGTGAATCAAAGTGTGCTTTTCTGGGAGGGCTGGGGCGACTGGGTACCAAGGACGCACCAGACTAGGTACTGTGCAGTTACAAGCTGGCCAGCCATCCCAATCGCTACGAGGAGCGAGGTACAGTAGGCGTTCTTGGCTTCATCTGTGACTGCACCTAGCCGCAAACAAAAATGCCGGGCCAAAGCGACCGACGGTGAAGGAAGGATGGGAGCAGATGCAATGCAGTGCAGCGCATGCCCTCGACACTCCCTCCCGTGACCGACCCCCCCCCCCNCCNC